CCCTTCCAACTCAAACCATTCTATGATTTCTGGGGACAAATTAGTCTACCCTAACACAAAGAACAACGGTCTTTAGAGGTCTTTCTCTCCATACTCTTTGGAAGACTGCACATGTGGCATAATATACTACCTCAAGCATTTAAAACCTATGGCTGTTCCAAGTGCTCTGCCTTGAAATATCACATAAGTAAGTTTGTAGCACCTGCCACCTGTATTTTCAAGAGGTTTGTGTGAGGCAGGATAAAAAATGGTGCTTCAAACAGCATAGCAGGTTAATATCAGCAAAGCTGTGGAAAAATCGATCTACTTCAAATTGAGGCAAAAATACATATTCTAATTTTCAAAAGAGAATTAAAAAAAAAAAAATTACTGCCATTGAAAAGAAGGCAAGAGGATGACACTTTAGGAACTCTGACACCAGTATTATGACCATGAATTAGTTTCACTTTGTTTTTAAGATCAGGGAGGTAAATGACCTGACACTGCATGTCTAGAATGCTCGCTTTTTTCATTTTTATGCTTTTTGACCCATAAAGTCAATAGAAGATGTCCCAGAATTCTTCCAGCAGAAGTTTCCAATACAATTGTGAAACAATTAATGAAAGCCCCAGGAGAATTGAACTTTTCACATACACACAAAATCCCAGGCTGACTTTGGCGAGGCCAAATCTCTGCTGTTTCCTGGGGCTTCTGTTTCATGTGGTAATGTTCCCACTAGTACCTGGCATGAAAATAATCTGAATTAAATTGAAGCCTGTGCCTTTCAAAGCTAAAACCCACAATGTTTGCTTGTTAGACTGGCTAATGTTTATTAAGTATGGGCATTTCAAATTGTACTTGGGGTCAAAGAAAAATATTTATTTTTCTTCTAATTTAATCAGTATGAAAGAACTGAGGAATCTCTAACTTTCTAACACGAACATTGATCAGTGTCTTGGGCACCTGTGTCAAACTGTAATAAAATTGTTGTCTTTTCTCAGCTCAGTTACAATGCACCTCTTGATTTAAACTACTCACAGGCAATATCTGTAACAGTAAACCCTCAGTTTCTATTTGAAAAAAACAAAATATAAAAATACTGTTACTTGTTTGAAAAATAATCTTGTCTCAGAAGTAGTATTTTTCAACAAAATAATTTAAAGTAATTTTCATGTAGCATGCATTTACTTTTGCTGACTCTATTTAACCTAAACTTGTAGCATTTTAAACTCTGGTCAATTATATAGCAAATGATGAGAATAAAGAAAAAAAAATTGGTCTTATCTGTGTATCTAAATTAATTACAATTGTACAACATACAATCAGAACAGAGGGTTTCAAGGAAACTGAAACCACTGAACAAAAGGAATCTTCAGCTTCAAAGTTAATAAAGCAAATGCCAATCTGACAGGCTGTGTAAAACAAATGTGGCATTCACTTTGTAGTTTCAAAACACAGCTGCAAACAGGCTAAGTCAGTGGTTACAAAAAAATCTCTCATTGTAAGTATCACAGATATTACTATGAATGTATACCTGAATATGGGGAATTCAAAATTAATCAGAACAAATATGTCATTTAATTTGATACACGAAAAAAGTCCCACAAATCCTTTAATTAGGTTGGCTATATACCACAACTTTTCTTTCCCCAAACTAAAAATTTCCCTAGAGATGTAATACCTGCTTCGGTCTTATATTGATATATTCAGTATCTCAGCAGCTAGAACCACATTTACCTGTTCAGTAAGTTCATCTAAGAAACCTAATTCAACTCCCCTGTAAGGCGTCTTGTTTGGGAAGGTTTCTATTAAAGAGCCTTTGAGCTCTGGATGCTGCACATTATTTAAGCCTGAGTTTAACAGTCAAAGTGGCTGTAGTTAAACACAGCCATGTATGCAATACAAAAAAATTGCCCAAACAAAACCAAAACCAAACAAAAAGAAAACAAAAACCAAACAATCCCCACCTTACATGAAATGGATGCTCACAGGATGACAATGATCACGAACTGTAAAAGCACTTTTGATTCAAGCCACATACAAATAGTTTAACCTTTAAGTTCTGGAAGCAATTTTAAAATGTCAAGAGGTATGTCAAGTTCTTAATACCCAAGTTTAATTGTCAAATAATGGAAAATAATGCTTCTTCCTCATAAACTAGGGAATAGTGCTTGGTTGGCTTGTATTTTAACTGCATATTATTTTCTAGAACACCTACTACATTGTTCATTTTAGCTTTATTTTCAAAGCAGTCAAGCACAGGAGATCTCTGCAAGACTATCATGTTACACCATTGATCCTCACAAGGAGGAGACTCAATTTGCTCAGTAATAAGCAACCTAGGTCAAAGGCCATGACTGAGAAAAGACAAAGAGCATTGTTTACACCTGTGTCAATCAGAAAGAGCTCTACTGAAGTCCATTGAGTTATATTTTACTCAAATCCATACAAAAACTTCTGTGTTTGCTGAATCTGGATTATGTGGCAGCCAGGAATTCACATTTATTAATCTGTAGCAGGAAGCATTACAGACTGCTACATTAAAATACTAGTTTGCTATACTGGCTTCTTAACCAAAACTGGGTTTTTCTCTCTTACTGGCAATTCAAATTCATGTCACTGCTTCAGCCTGCTCACTTGCACTGCATTACCTAGTGTGCTGCACAGTACAAAGTAATAGGTTCTGTGATTTTGGATAAGATAATTAATCTGAGGCAAAGAAACAGTAATTAGTGTCCTACATTTTACAGAAAAAGAACCAAAACTCCACCTCTTCCAACTATTTGCAACTACAAGCAAACTTTTGGACGTGCAAGATTTTGTATTTCTTGACTTTTGATGTTCACAGAACTACACACTTCTAACAGTCCAAAAACATTAAAAGCATATTTCTGACTACACAGTCACAAGATGATTTACAAAAAAACCCTTAACTTGGCAATTTTAATTTAGGTTGTTCATGGATCTGGATGGAAGCATTGCATGGAATACAACCCCAGAGAGATTTGTCCAGGAGAGCTGCCTCACTTTCAAGCACCACCTCAATCAAGTTCAAGAAAGGCCCTTCCTGACAAGCATGAAACCAAGCAAAGATGGCATGGCTGGACTTAGGAAAGCCAAGGCCCTTCTGAAGTGAAATTTGGTGAAGGACATGAAAGTCAATAACAAAGGGATTCTATACGTATTTTAGCAGCAACAGGAAAGCTACAGAAAATGTCTGCCTGCTGCTACATGGGCTATGGGACCTGTGACAAAGAATAGAGAAAAGATCAAGGAATTCAGTGTCCACTCTGCCTCAGTCTTTTAATGGTAGGATTTGCCTTCAGGAATCCCAGGCCTGTGAAAACAGGAAGTCTGGAGCAAGAAAGACTTAACTCTGGGCAGATGAGGGATCAGGTGGGAACACTTGAACAAGCCAGACCTACACAATCAGTGGGATCTGATGGGATGCACCATAAATGTGGTGTGAGCTGGCTGATGTCTTCTTTATCTTGACTTCAAGGCTTCTGGCACTCTAACTTCCTGAAGTGGTGAACTCTAGATGAGATAAACTGGCAGTGAGGTATACAGAGAACTGGCTGCACCCTAAGCTCAAGGAGATGTCATTAGCAGCACAAAATGCATCTTGACAGTCACTAGTGGTGTCGCCCTGTGGTTGGTCCTGGGATCAATACTATTTAACACCTTCATAAATGAGCCAGAGGGTGGGGCAGAATGACCCTCAGGAATTTTGCAGCTGATACAAGCCTGGGAGAACCTGTTGATACACCAGATGGTTGTGCTGCCATTCAGAGGGACCTTGACAGACTGAGAAATGGACATCTGTACTGCTTTGGTTCAGATGTGACATGAAAACATGATGCTCCATTTCCCAAACAGGAATCTACTGAACTGACACTGTATTGTCACAGGAATATATTGATTACACCAAACTGCTCAAGAAATAAATTGGGGGAGGAGGAGGACAGATCACTTCAAATGAAGAATTTATGTCTGACATTGTTTAATGTACAAATGTAAGAATGCAAGCAACTTCATTCATTTATGTCTTACTTCCAGTTCAGATTGAACTACAACAGAGAAAGCAACACAGAGAGGACTTCTTGTTGGTTTGTGTATTTTAGTAGACATGGAAAATGTAAGACAATTTATCTGAGTGATGTGGTCTACCACATAGGTATCAGTAAATGCAATTTCAGAAGCTATCTTTCATGACAGCCACTCAGTAGCAGCAGAAAGCTTAGAAGTCATAAATTATGTTTCAAATACATTCTATTGTTCAAAGTGACAAATTTTAGTCTTTTAAATTCATACAACCCTAAAACAGTATTTTCTTCCACCACAAAAATAGCAAAAGTTTTAGGGCTCTTCTGAATCAAACTAATCACACTCATTTATGAGCATTCTGAAGTACTGTCATTATGAGGCTTAAGTATTTATCATACCACAAACATGTACTCTTATATTACAATGAAACAAAATAAGAAGCATTGACAAAATGGAGATCAATAACTTTGACCATCAGCCTATATAGATCTTCTTCCAAAAGCTATTCATTTGAATTTATCTTACAATTAAATTAATAATCCTCTGGTAACCTTATTGATTACAAACACAACCTGAGATGGCCCCCATAGGTCAGGATGACTAATGTGAAGATATAAAAGTCAGAGAAGGGATTTATGCCCTCAGCAGTATCAACAATTCCCCTTGGCCATGATGACAAACAAGTGCTAATATATGTCAGAAAAACACAAGATTTTTAAAGTGATGTGAGATTATACTGTTGTAGCACACAAGTGAAACAAGTGCTTTTAGTACACTTAAAGGTGAACCTGCTATATGATCCAAAACTTTAAATGAGGTATTTCTCAACCTGTTTATTTTGTCACTAAATATAGGGAGTCCCAAAGCTTACTGTACCAAATTTTTTATTATTTCAAACAAACGTCTGTACAAAAACATCAAAGCAGGCCAAGAAATCCCGTAACTTCACAAACAGCACATGACAACTCACAGAATGCTTTAAGGTTTACATTTTTATTATACAAGTGACAAATAGTTTTTTTCTCTGGGCTACTTAAAGATCAGACTTCATTGTTTGACAAAAAATTGCAGGTAAGCATATTAACTTCAGTTACCAAAGCTCAACAGAATGGCCTGTCATCCACCTAATTTACCTAATTGGAAGTGACTATAAACAAAGCAGGATTTTGCCTAACATACATTTTTAAATGTCCCCCCCATTAAAAATGGAGCCTGTAAACAGTGGATTTACTACTGTGAAAATAGTGTAGTCATTGCTTTCAGAAAAAGAAAAAGATGTAACGTGAGTGAGTTCTAACTCTCTCCCCAAGAACAACATAGCAACTGGCTGCTGCACCTGCAGGGTGTGACATGAATGCTCGAGTTGTCGTGCTGTCCAGCATCAGGACATGCATGACATTGGCACCTGTGCGTTCTGATCACATCTGAGAAACCTCATAGGGGTTGCTCTGCTCAGAAATAAGCTCTCAAGTTAATCCCTACTCCAGAGAATTTGTGACATTAATACTGTTTAAGGACTGAGTTCAATGACACAGTTTGTCAAAGTGCAGCCGAGTTCCAGCAGACCAAATGCATCTTCAAAGTCTTAAGGTAATGTTTCTAGAAGAGATGTGCATGAAAATTCCAGTGAAAGCACACAAACCCTGATTTATCTATATGGGGATAAGCAAATACAAATCCGAATCTGTGCACAAGCACTGGAGTTTCCACACATACATGCAAGCAAAGTACACAAAATCAAACACAATTTCTGAACGTGACCTCTGCAAGAATATGCACAACTGCAGACCACCCAGTAGACACAGATAACAGAGCATGAGCACTTTGCTGCTTTTGGCAAAGTATTTCTATTCCATTAACTGGAAAATTTACCAGAAAGTAAGAACAAACAACTCAGCAAGGAACTTAACTTCTTGAAGTATCAATCACATCTCAAAAGCCAGTGAAGAGCAGTCAGCTGATAAATATTTCTGTGTTGACTCTGAGTCATCTAATGAAAAACACTACCAGGAACTAAATGGAGTTCCTAAGAACAGATCAGCTCTTAATTTTAAACCATCCCTCATCTGATGCAGCTGATTTGACACCAGGGAAGTTTGCTACAGAAAAGTGTACTAGCTTAGATCAGCCAAAAAATTACTGGCTAGAGCTGTGTGGTAGTTAATGTTTACTGTGATATATTTACACTGACAAACCTTTTCCATTTAAGTCAAGGCATTAGCATTTTCCCTTTCCTTTCTAAATCTAATAAAATTATACAGTTTTCAAAATCCATCAAGGATCTTTAAGCATATTTTCTGTTTATTTATACAACAACTGAAAAAGGATATTAATTTCCTCAGCTGTTGAAAGGTATGGGTTATACTTAATTAAAAAGGTAAAATTACCTGTTTGAATTGAATACATTTTTGGATGCTAGACAGCACATAATCCATAAAATTAGGTGGATCTCCACTTATTACAGGAAAGACAATGCATTTTATGAGTGATGAACATTCAGGTATTCTCCTATTCATACTAGTTTGACAAGATCCTAAAACTGACTGAAAAACTGTGCGCAGGTTCTTCAAAACATACCAAATGAATTTTGCTTTCTCTTATATTAACTTTCTGCTTCTTTAAAGTTCCTTTTCTGTGGTACCTTTGACATTTCAGTTTGATTTCCATTTTGTCTTCACTACTACTTCTCTGACGGAGAAGGTGTTTAAGGATTAAAATGCACAGACAAACTGTCTTAACTGAAGTATCTAAGTAAAAAAGTATTTTAAAAGTCAAAAGATAAAGGCTAGAATAAAAACTTAGGTTGCACTATATAAAGTCAGTCAGGTTATGAACAGATTCATATATTTTAGCAATGTGAAGAAAATGGTTATGTAAATACACACAAGTATTAACATCAAACTGTATTAAATTATGTAAACATACACATCTTCTGTGATCAATACAAACATCTACTTGTCTCTGGATACTACTGCAGCATAGCTCGAATTTGTTTTGAAGTAGATTCATCATTCAGGTGTTTTGTAGTGAACCTAGAAATTACAAGTTAAAACAATCATTTATAAAATGAACAAAGATAGGAAAAGTCTGAACACTTCAGCCTGTTTTTGAAATCAACACAGTTCAGTTACACACAGGAGGAATTTACATGTTCCTCTACTGATCACTGGAATTTAACTGGTAAGAATCTGGTGCTCTTTATCTTCTAAATACCCTATGCAATAAATTATTCCCTGCTAAAAGGTGGAGAACTGTGGCTAACTACTGTTTGGTATCAGTCTATGACATTGTCATGATCTTGGATCAAAATTATCTCTCATTTTTTTTAGTTAAAAGCCTCAAAAGAAGCAAAATCATGAAAAGACATAAGAAATATGGTAAATACTAAAATCACTAAGGAATCTAGACTGAATTTTGGCATAACCTATGACTTTAAGCAGTTTTCTTAAATGTTCTGAGAGGACTAAAGAGCTTTAGTGAGTTTTTTTCTATTTAAACCCAAGCATTCTCCACTGTTTATGCTAATAGAGAGACTGATTATAACATAAGCTTGAAACACACTTGACACCTGTAGATTTAACTCCACATCCACTTTAATTCAAAAGACATGATAAGCAAATGTGGAAGTGCAGTTCTCCCTCTATCCAAGCATTCAACAGCTAGAGAACTCAAAACAGCTCTGAAAAACTTGGGTTTGACAACTAACAACATTCTCAGCTTCAGAGAAGCGTCAGACCCCTGTGTGCCTTCCTTCCCAAGACAGCACTATGAACAGGACTGGGATTTAGGATGCTGTTTTCTTGAAGCTGTATAATTTAGCATTATTAAAAAAAAAAAAAAAAAAAAAGTCTTACTAAGATGGAAAGGGCTTAGAAGGGAAGCACTTAGGGTTTGAGAAATAGAAATCTGACACTTCATTTCTAAAATGTTCCAGATTCTGGGGTATTTTATATAGCAAATCTTAGCTAGGATATACTGTTTACAATATTAACAGTTATTGTTTATTCAAGTGAAATGAAATGGGAAGAAATTAATATTAAAAAAACCCAGGTGATGAAGAGGAAACCTGAGAGGATAATCTTCTTAAATCAATCTTCTAAAGTAAAGAAACTTAAATATAAAGAGATTGGGAGAAAAACAAAGAGGAATTTTCTAAGGCTGAATCACACATACCGGAGAGCATTCAGAAGTCCTTCCACAGAGTCAGGTGGTTGTTCCTTTAAAACTTTTATGCATCCCTTCATCTGGGAACAGAAGCATGCCACTATTGAACAACAATATATGAATTGCACTAGCTGAAAACAAGGAAAAAATTCACCGTATACAGGCAGGTTTCTTTTCTTACTGAGTGTTAATGCTGCTTTACATGACACAATAAAAATATTACAACTTATTAAAAATTATTTCAAAGTTAAAAACTTAACTTTGGAGAAAACATCTACTTTAATAAGCATTTGTAGACAGTAAATTATGTATCAAGTATCTACATTTTAACTTGCACACTGTTTCTTCAGTTCCAAGTAAAAATTACTAAAATCCAAACTATCTGATACAAGCTGAAAAAAAGAGATTTTGGGAGTTCCATGTCACTGCTGTTAACAACTCTAAGAAGAGATGTTTCAACTTTGACTTTTATTTTTATGTTTGCATACAAGGAAGTAATTTTCAGTATTCAGTTTTTAGTTGTAAACCTAGCCAGTGACAACTTATTATTTGTTTCACAACTAGTGGTTAAAAATTTAATTTAAGAAGTCCATGGTGTTGATTTTAACACCACACTGAATGAATATCTTTGTGGAGACTGTAAAAAACAGGCTGAAACTCTGTCCAAATTTACAAAAGGGGAAATGAAGCAGAGAAAGCAGGAGTAGAAGTCATTTGACCCATTGTAGAGACTCCCGAGCTAGTCAATAGAGAGAAACAAGGAATTCTTCTAACCTTTTCAGAATATATCTTCTCCAGTAGTACTTAATTCTTCCCACTGCTATGAAGACATTGAATCTAGCTATTCAGAAATTAGCCTAGATTAATTTTATCTTCTTCAAAATGACAGATAAAGACACAGCTGAGTCAAGATATGGATCCTTTAATTCTCCAAGTCACACTGGAGTGCTAAATCTACATGTAGAAATTTCTTTGCAGCTGAAGAGTACTTTGCCTTATTAAGGAAGCAGATGATAAAACAATTTAAGTCAGGGTCCCTTTATGTGCCAGCAAAAATGAGTCAGAAAATGTAGCTCAGCATCCCCGACAGGGAGCAGCCCAACAAACACTGCTCACTGCTCAGCTGGCTCATTTCTACCTGGAAAGCGTAACTAGCTTTGCAAATAACAGATCAGGTGAGATTCTCAGGCTAGCACCATGTGTTTTGAAGTGACATGGTTATTCTTCCTAAATTAGAGAAGCTCAAGTCTATGTGCACAGCACTCAGTACAGGTTTACATGCCCCAGCAGATCTGATCATACCAAGACAAAGGGGATAAAAATTCAAACAATTATTTTTCATTTCTGTTAGAATCAGAATACCTAAAACAAGTAGGATAATGTTGGGGTTTAGGATTCTTCCTTTTGTTTCTTTCAGGGAATTTTTCTCCCATATGTGTTGCTAGGAGACAATAACGACCGGGTACTCAAGAGAGACAAAAGAAGTTGCCACAGCTCAGGGGAGGAGAGCAGCTGGCTACTCTCCCTTTTTACCTGGGGGTTTCCCTGGGAAGGGCAGAGACACTAGGAGAACTGGCTTGGGAAAAAGGGGTTGGGTGCAGCCCCCAGCTCTCCTGCACGCTCGGCATTCAGAGGGGAGAGAGGCTGCAGTCGCTGTGGGGAGAATTCATCACCATTGAGGGTTCCATGTCCTGTTGCCTTTCTTCTGCCAGGAGCGAGCTGTGCTCCTAGGAGCAGCTGTTGCACTGGGACCTTATTAACACCCCACCTCAGCTAACAAGGGACCCTTCCCCATCTGCTGGGGTGCCTCAGAGCAAACCCCAGGATCCCAAGCCTGCCTTTCCCCTGCCCTGCTCGGAGCCGGGCTGTGGCTGCACAGCTCCGTTCCTGTTCCACGGCTCTGGTTTCTCTGCTGCGCTGTAGCTCCACACCCCTTGCCCGTCGGAGGCCCCGCTCCATCGGAGGCTCCAGCTCCAGCTGCAGAGTTTCTGATACAACTCCTTCACCACCCTGAGACTTTTGCGCCTTCCTGCCATTCCAGCTTGCTGCTCCCGAGGATCCTGCTGGGGTAGTGGGATCGGCTGTCCCGGGGGTTTGTAGAGAACGCCTTTTTTCCATCCCGCCATTGCTCTTTGCTCCCTGAGCTCGCGCCACAGCGCCCCCTGCAGCCGCGGGGGAATCACTGCACCTGCCCTGCCCGCCGGGAGCCAGCAGCGCCCCTGCCGGCTGTGCCCGGAACTGCACCAAGGGGGACCGTGCCCGGAGAGCAGGAACACACCGTTTACTGGGGTTTCTGGGGTTTTTCCTTTTGTTTGCTTTTGCTGCCATTGTTGTTGTTTGCATGCCTTGTTACACACATACATACTAGTAAAGAACTGCTATTCCTTTTCCCGTATCTTTGCCTTGCACTTAATTTCAAAGTTATAATAATTCAGAAGGAGGGGGTCATATTTTCCATTCCAAGGGAGGTTCCCATCATCCTTGGCAGACACCTGTATTTCAAACCAAAACAGATGTCTAAGCTAGGAGACTGTCATTAATAGCTTAAAATACAGCCTCCAGTCTTGAAAGAGTAAAGCAAAGGTAATATACTCCACTGTCCCTGAAATTCTCTTGCAATGGCTTGAATGGCTGAAGTGAATAGTTTAGAGAAAATAATTGTTTACCACAGTAAAACAAACTCATCATCTGAAACTTAGGATATTTTTTTAATTACAAAAGAATCATGGAGTTAATTACGCAAATCAAGATTTGGGACCATGTACTCATTTTTTTAAACTGAGTCATAAATCTGCCTCCCATTTACACCTACCTAACTTTCCTGTATGATGACAGGGCTTTAGGATAAATGTGAGAAACAAAGTACACACAATGTACATTTGGTCCTATCAGAATTTCATTTGTTTTGCCTCTGTAGGCAAGAGACTAAACCAGCATTCAAGAAATCTGCACTCAAGTCCCAGGCTCTATCTGTTTCATGACCTTGAGCAGATCTATTCACCTCTGTGACAAATCTTTCCTTCTGTAGAGAGTCAAAGAGGAGATGTGGCAAAATTCTGGTATCTGCAGAGGCAAAATGCTAAGGAAGACCCAGTATCATGGAGGGCAATAATATATGTTTTTTTTCTTCTCTTTTGACGATGTCTCTCTTGTAAATCAAAAGACTTGGCATATTTTTCATTATTAACAGCTTATTTCTGCTGAAAGAAGTGGTGTGTCAGATTTAGCTTTGTAAAAATATGTAGAAAAGACAAGAGTACTCTTTTCATATGTGCTTGCAATTTCTCAAATGGAAAAATAAGATTGATTTCTCTGTGACTGGCCATACCAAAGATAAAATTGAAGGGTCATTATCAACATTACAACAGTAACATTTCAGTTCTGTTACTTCAGAGCTCAGACAAAGCAGAGAAAACATTGAATATCTACTTACTTACAAGAGAACTACTGCCAAAGATGAGCATTTCAGCATCGATATATTACATGATTTATAAAAAATTATGACCACAGAACATATTCCAGGCTAGGTGTAATATAAAATTATTTTAGCCTAACTATACAGTTAGCAAAAAAGCTGGTCCTTATTTTATTTTCAAACAAACTGATGTATTAAAGAGCACAGGCGAAGACAGATTCTAAATTGCCATTCAAAAGTAATTAAAATTATTTCTACCAAGCCATAAGCTTGTGCTGAAAAAGAACTGCAGACTAGTATCCTCAAACCTATGGAGTATTAAAGAAAGGTTTCTCTTACATCAATCTTTGATGTCTTTGAGAAAGCTCCCACAGGATGAACGTGATCGTACAGAATAATTACTCCCACCATTACTCGCATGCAGAACATAAGGGTCTCTTCACTGGTGAATCTACTCCTGTACTCTCTGGAAAACAGAACAAAAGAAATAAACATTCTACACCTTTTGCTAGAAAATTTTAAAAACTAGACTGGGAGCACATGAAATCTGAATCAAAAGTATATTTTAAGGTTGCAGATGCACATTAGTAAGACTTTGAATATCAGTGAATTCTGTAAACCTGTGCCGATTTACAAAAATGGTTAGAGAGTAGATAGATGTAAACCTCTCATCATACCCATGTACAGTTGAGATCCTCAAAATGTATGTGATGATGGCTTAATAGAAAACTCAATGAAATATGATGGACACTGATCTGAAACACTTCAGTTTAATCCCAGAAACACCACATGCTGGGACATCAAAGGAAAGCCATTGTTTTTGCTTAAATTCCTACTTTGGAATAGTTCAGTGGGATCTAAGCTCAGCAGCTGGGAAGTACAGAGCTTCACCAAGATGGATTGCAACAGTCGTTGTGCTCTCTCTGTGTATTGTAGTACCTGTCAGTCTACAATAACTTGAACTTTTATTCTTCCACAGCATTGTAACATGAACAGACTTAAAGGTGACAGAAACTGTGATGTGAAAATGCTTGATTATCCCACAATTAGTATTAAATATTAGATAATCTTCTATATGACTCACAACTTTTTTCTCTATTTTTGCCAAAAAAACAGCTGAGTCATAAGGCTACTTTTCAATTACCACTTCTATGATGTCTCAGGATTGTGAGAGGAGTCCCACCCCTACAGACAGTTCTCCAGAATTTTCATGAACAAGCACAAACCTCAGGAGTTCTACTCTTTACATGGCTCCATGAACAAATGACTCATAGGCAGAAAGACTACTTTGACTTTATCTTATATGTGTTTTCCAGTCAAAGAGACGTCTAACCTAAAATATACTCCAATAAATGCATAGCAAAATAAAGAACCCCACTGGCTATTACTGCCTACACTAGCAGATATGAACACAACTGTACAGCTGACTACATTTATATGAATGAAAATTCATACAGCTGATTTTTTTTGTATCTAGAATAAGATGGCTGCATCCAAAAATAGATCTACTTAAATGATCCTTGAAATAGCCCCTGTGTATTTGCTAAAGTACTGCCTGGAAGAGGCAAAACCTTGCCCTCTGTGTTAATAATTGAGCAGCATGGGCAAGCAGGAGGTAGCAATTGGCTTTGGCCCTGGATAGACAAGACACAGACACTGCAGCCTGCGAGTGCATTAGATTATTACACTGTATTTTAACCTGTCATGAAGTGCAGGCTGACCATGTAAGCTCTACCCAACAGAACTCAACACTGACTCATGAAAGATATCAAAGGGTGGTTAGAACAGGAAGCAAGGCTTTCTAACACCAGGTCATGCTTTTTATACAAAAAGAAGTAACAACTTAAGGCAAAGATACAGGAATTCACTTGGAAAAAAGTGTGTTATCCCAGGTGGCTAATTAAAATGTAAGTTCCGTCATACAAACCCCCAAGATTTAAGATAAAACTTACGGTGTTTCCAACATGACTTTACATACACTGGCCATAGTACTTAGACAGTCTGTTGTATTTTCAATTGGTAAAGTTTTGTTCTGGAAGGGTAAGAAAAAGGCAGTGTTCAGTAAACTATGTTGTAAAATTAAAATCAAGAATGTCTGTGTTAGACCTTTCTCCCCCTTTACATACTTCTGATACAAAATGTGTCGTTGCATTACTGAGGGTTTTCAGCATTGGTGTGGCCTCTGCATAGAAGAGGGACATCCTATTGGCCATTTCATTGTTCACTTCATTCTCAATGTCTAGCTGATGAAAACAGAAGAAAGAATAGTCAGTAAAGCTCTTTAAAATCTTGCCAGCAGCAAGAAAAAGATGCAGTACATGTTCATGTCAGAATGCACTGTTACTTGAATAGTCCTCTCTAATCACTTCATCCGGATTGCTGATTAACTCTCAGTGTGAAGGAGAGAACATGACAGCTACTGAATCAAAAGCAAAAACTTTACCAAAAATGGCATAAATGCATCCTGATAAATAAATACCTCACTGTGTGCAGCACATCAGAGTTTATTTACTTACATGCATGTTGTTTATTCTGTTGCGACTTATTGTCCGCCTGTAATAACTGAAGTCATTCTGAATTGCTGGGTTTCTCATCTTCCAGGAAGAGAAACAGGAAATAATCAGTTTTGGTTCAAAATACACAGCAACAATCAACATATACTGAAAGACTTTATTAACCTTAAGTTCATCAAAACGAAGAGTAAAATGTAAGATTTCTGCAAACTCTTTCGCTAGAGCCTGTTCCCGTTCCAGGTGCTGAGTGGGAGTGTAGGGAGGGCATGTCAAGGATTCCAGTAAACTCTGCAGGGCTTTCTCTGAATAAAAATCAGAAGCACAAATTGTAGTCAGTCCACACAAAGCTTTAACTACATATCTAAAAATACTGCATTTGAAGAAAAAAACCCTCCAAACATGCCGAGCCCTAAATATGCTTTTTCTTACTATTCTGAAGTGAGAAGCAGTAATTAAAGACACCTGCCTCTTCAGGCTCTGCCATTTTCTCTCCATTTTGTATCATTGAATTCTTTTCCATTTTTGTCACCCTTTATCTGGGATCCTTATCAAAAATTCTAGAGGAGGCATTTTTCTTGCATTCAGATATTCAACACTTTCATCCTTCTCAATTAGCCATCAGCTCAGTATAGAGATTATTCTGGCATCTCTGTTACTAAAAGTGTACTCTTAGGCACTGATAGCAATATAAATCAGCTTCTGTGCCTACAATTACTAGCATAACTCAAAAAGTGAAAGACATAGTTACAGGATGTTGTAGAAGAAACCCCTTCCACTAGGAGCCCTCTCACTTCATACACATATTTTCATTCCAGAGTCCTATTTCAAAGAGTAACTACATCAGTTTCTGTGTTTGTTGGGATGACAAAGTCAATGTACAACACATCCAACTTCGGATTTTCACCCTGTGAGAGAGTTTATTGGTACATTTCCCCCATTATCTCTGCTTTTAAAAAGTCTCAAAATATGACTGGCTTACATTCCTTTTAAAGCTCCAGGGGATCCAAATTACAAAAAGTAAATTGCATTAGTCCAACATGGACCAGAAAAGTGCAGAAATGTGGCAGGAAATAGAGAAAAACTGTGTAGCTTTATCATGTTTTTTGCTTGTATGCCATTTCAGTAATATAGACAAACTAACGAAATATGAAATTAAGATTGAAGAGATGCCTTGATAAATGCAATTGCAGTTAAATGCCTGTTGATATCAAACAGAAATAATATTAACTCTAGAAGTCTTTAAAAAAGTTTGTGGAAAGACAAAACTTCTTCTTTCATTATATATAAAAAACCTATAAAACAGACGTACTAAAACAGGGCTCACCTAATCTGAGTGAAAACTCATAGAAGCGCTTTAGCCTTACAACCAGGGGACAGACTGAATTCCATGCTTTTTCTTGCAGCTGGATATCATTGGGATTTTGTATTGCCTGAAATGAAAATATAACTGTAAAGACCTGTGATAAATAAACAACAAGCAAGAGGTGGTTTGGAATTTTCCTACATTATTTTAAAATGTATTGTAAAACATAGAAGAATTCTTAGAAATTACATTGCATAGGATTCAAGAAAATACCACGTTTTTCACCTTCTCTCTCCCCCTGTGACGTACTGTTTCAAAATCATTCATTACAGTGAACCACTGACGCAGAAGTATGTTCTAGCATATTCTTTTGGGAGCAAAACTATTGTAAAAGCATCAGGTAAAACCTTTTGTGTAACTACTGGCTGCAAAAGTAGCCTTCTTTTTCAGGTTTTAATGGTTTTGAAAACTTCAACATGTCGAGGTTTTTAAGTAACCAACACCCCACATTAAGAGTATCTACAAATCTGATGCAGGAAAAGTTTTTGTCACCTGAGAAAAATTCTAAGTTACAGTTCAGAAGTGTACTTCAGGACCAGTTTTACAGGGTAAGATGCCTCTAAAGTGGATGTGAAGTTATAATTTACTGAGGTTCACTATTCCACTTACAGAATAAAACAACTATCTGTACCATGTATTTCTGACACCTGAGTATTACTTCTTCCATGTTTTCAAATTTGACTTCTGCCATGAGATACATGAAACAAGGTATATGAAATGGTGTTTATTAAAGTGAAAAATAGTAAATAATTACTAACAGAAAACCTCAAAGAAGTTCCAACACCCATCATTTAATGATTTCAAGCTAGAGCTTTATACTGAATGTTATGCATAATCTGTTACATATCTTATAAATACATTTTAAGGAAATTTTCACTTGAATTCATTGAATGTGCTTGGATAGAGACCAGAAGCAAGGAACACATTGAGTTTTGCCTGATTTTGCTTCCAAAGAACTGCCATTAACAAACATACATCTCTAATTTCTTGTCCAGCTCCTTTGTAAGCCTGAAGGTCTGCAAGCATGCTTTCTGAGTCCTGTAAAACTGCACTGATCTGGTTCCAGACCTCCCTTTCTCCATCCGTGGGCTGTGCATCTAAGAAAGAGAAAAGCAAAATGCACAAAGTCAAAAGGAAGCTGCAGTACAAATGGCAAGATTACTCAGTTCTACTTAACAATACCACATCCAGCTTGAGTATGTGTAACTCCGTTCTGATGTATTTTTTTTCCAAATATACAATTATACTGCCATTCTGCTAACATCCAAGCTTCTGCTTTTTACATCCAAGCTTCTGCTTTTTATAGCAAGGAAGGAAGAACAGTACAGTTTTTGTATGCTCTGGCTCATAATGCCTCTTCTCATAATGCAGCATTTTAAAGAGCAGCAGTATCATAAAGCAATGTTATTAGAAAATAGGATAATGCATCATTTCACAAGCTCCATGGCTCAATTACAAAGAATTGCTCACTTTTCTTGCAGCTTGGGGATAAAATCAGGCCTTTCAATGGATGGAGCAGTGGGATATTGCTCCACTTTGACTTTCCTCCAGGCTTCCTTAACCAGGGTAATTTATTTCTCCTTTGTAAAACAGATATGGTACTATTAAAAATAAAATTTTTCTTATGTATGTCAGGGATCATTCCTGCCACTCAAATAAATCCAGCTCTGCCAGTTATCAGTTTTCAAGGTGTGAGTGACCTGTAGACCTTTACTGTTGAGAGAAATGACATTTGAAAGTAGATCAATTTTCCTATTCAAATCTCCTCCTATGGGATTTACACAGCAGTGTGACACTAGGGAGTGATGTTATCCCCAGAACACTGACACATTAGACAAGGTAGAGATCTTCTGTCTTCTTTTGCTTTAAAACATAAAGATGACAGGCACTGACCAAAGACTGGATGACCTACATATGGGATTGCAGTCTGTATGTGAAGGAACAATGAGATATCTACAGAGACACAAATATTTTTTTCCCTTAGATTTGTATTGATAGCTTGTAAAGATAGAATATTAATTTTTATGAAAGAAAGAATTACCTTGAAGTTGAATCTTAGAACTTAAAGACTATTTGTTTGAATTAAAAGCAATGAGGTAAGTTCAGTGCAAAACTCATCAATTAGGATGAGCTACTGTATTCATCTCTACATTAATAGACAAGAAATATTAAAAACACTTATTTTATTTAGTCATCTTACTCTCCTCAAGAAAACTGACAGAGTTTTCTACCCATGTATCAGTATGGGATTAATTTACCCAGTCCCCATTAGAAATAAATGAACTGGTTCGCACTGGAGTATATGGAAAACAGGCATTTTCTTCATGATGTTTCAGGTTAGGATAATTTGTTTAAATGTATGAAGTTACCTATGGACCTTGCACAAACAGAACACAAATTAAAAGAGATTTACATGTCTGTAGCTTCAAAGCAACTCATACTTAAAACCCTTCCCCTATTCCTATGGCACCATGAGTTCCAAAAAACTGGGCACATAATACTGATTGGACTTTCCTCTAGTTCTGGAAGTTTTCCTTTATCTTATTTAAGAAGTGAAAATAAATATAAACTGGGCTTACTTAGCTGGCTTTTACAGCCAAAATATTTCATGCAACTAAAAAATTCCACTATCCTTCAAGAAGTGAGAGAAAGGAGCACCGAAGGGAAAAACTCCCCACAGGAAAATCTGGGACATGGCTGTTGAACTGACCCATCAGTCACTTTAAATTTACAGTGTTCCAGACTGGTTCTTTCCTCAGGCTGCAAGAAATATCAGGTACACACCATATGGGGTTTGCCATCTTGTGATAAAGAAGCAAAACAGAAAACCCCTCTGACTTCAATGAGGAAAGCAGTGATCCTGAGAAACAGTTACATACCATACAACAACAGAGTAGGGGAAGGTGGGAGTCACATAAAAATCAGTACCTATATTTTATTAGTTAAGATAATGAAAATAACATTTCAGTGAATACTAACACAAAAGAGAATAAATAACTTGTTAGTGAAGTTCATGAATGTAAAATTTGCATGTGCAGGTAACCTGAAGCATCTTGTTTAACTTTGTTAGTTAACAAGGTACTTCAATGTTAATTTTTACAATTTATTTTCTTTAAAAGTACAAGTGCTTAAGGGGATTGCAAATACTATACACTGCCCAGCACTTTGGGACTTCAAAAAGGCCTTTAGTAACATCCTTTATTGTAAGTCTTTTTCAAAAGTTCCCAATGCATCTTTTGGCAGTTGGTGGAAGGAGGAATATTTGAAACTCATTGAGCGTTCTGCAGTATCGCAGCACCTGGAGACAGAGTAGGAGCAAGAGGCAGGTAGGTGTGTGGGAGAGGGAAAGACAGGGAAGGGAGAGGAAGAGGGCTGCAAAGGTTCCAGAGCAGCAGACTTAGCTTGCACTTGCAGAAGCAGTTTATATTTATGTTGAAAGTGTTTAGCTTAAAAAGAAAGGTAGGGAGGATGGTTCAGGCTTTTTTTTTTTTTTAAAGCATGCTTTTATTTATGAAATAGAAGTTATGCAAACAGACGTTCTGATAAGACCATGGCCATTTTTCAAAAGGGATTTTACAAGAAGATGCTGCCATAAAGGGTCAGCTAAAATAACTGAAATGGATCACTTTGAAAACAATTTCATCTTACTGTCAACAACAATAATAAAAATAGCAGCAACCACTAAAAGGAATTGAAACTTCTTCATGACGGATTTTGACTTTTAGAACTGGCTTGCTATTTCAACTAAATGAAAGCTTGTTTCTCTGTTCTGAATTAAACAATGCCAGTCCTGAACTGGAATGGGTGGAATCACTGTTTGGCCGTGCTCACCTCTCATCCCCATGCTGCCAGAGAACCAGCACGTGCTTCAGAAATCTGAGCCCATTTATAAATGGAACCACTTCCACTGGCCAGCCCGTGGTGAACACAAGTTACCATAATAGCCAGACTCACTGCATTTCAAGGCTGAGTTTTTAGAATGCTCATGATTAGCAATCAGAGCATTCTGTCTTTAATAAGACAAAATAGAAAACCCTTTTACCTCCCTTTGGACAAATGTTTCTAATGTGAACCCTAAACCACACAACTACATGAATCCTGTATCAAATTAATGCAAGAGTCAGGTAAGGCATGATTCTACCAGCAAAATCTGAAAATTTTAGCTCTGGACAGAAATACACTTCCACTGACTCCATCAGGAATAACCAGACCATGGTAATTCATCCATTCCAAAGAACACATGCTCTCTTTCACATTTACACATGGTCTATGCCATGTTTTGGATGAAACTTCAGACTTTACAAAGAACAAGTGGAAACCCGGATCTGCTACAGCTCATTTATGGGTGCATTAAGAATTTCAGGTGAATGGTGGGGCATGAAATTTGGGTCATCATTATTTTCTTAGTAAAATACCTGTAATTTGTTTCAGAAAATCCTCCAAACAGTGTAAGGTATCTACCTCATCCTTCACCGAAATGTGCATTAGGAAAAAACAGAAACTTCTAGGTAGGTAAAATATTAGTATTCATAGGATAAGACTAAATATAGAAAGGATGTGATGCATTTACCAATACCAAATGAAGTATAAAAATACCTCAGTAATTAATTTTAATGAAGAAAGAACAGTACTATGAAGAGTACAAACAACAGGACTACAAGAAGCATTTCCAACTCACACACCCTTTCTGAATCTGAAATGCAGACCAAAAGCTGAGAACTTTATTCCACCCTTAGGTGGTTAAGAGGATTCACACTGAGGCTGATTAGTTCTTCCATTTCAGTGAATGTAGAATCATATTTGTCATAAAAATACCATGCTCTTCTGGTCTTCACAGCATAGCAAAAGAAAGTGAGTTAAACAAGAGCTTTCATGGGTTCTGCTTTCAGCTTTTCTTGTCATGCCCGCTGCTGAACATGGCAAATAATTCCTCAGCTAGCAAGTTAGAGAGCAGTATACATATTTAACTGCATAATGCTAAAGTTCTATTTCAGATTTGTCACCATGACAATGATTTTTTTTCCAATGCCAATCTGGGACAAAATTAAAAGAAAATCTCAGAAATGAGCAAAGGCATTACAATTACAGCAAGTAATGCACTTTAGAGGGTAGCAGAACCTGCTACACTCCATACATAAATGAATCCCCATTCATTAATGGATAGAAACAGTACTCTATCCAGGCTACACAGGATTTTTTAACTTCATTCTTTCTAAATTAGCTAGAATAAAGGGAAGCTCACAAAACTGTTAATACTGGCTCCAGGCAGGGTGCTGTGCCAGGGAGATCAGTGCCCAGCTTCAGCTCTGTGGTGGACGGGGGATGGACACACAGCACCTCTCTGACTGAGCTGCAGTTTGTGGCTCAGGGCATTCCACAGTTCGGGAATTGAGTGCAACCTCCCACAGGCTGGACCCAGATTATATCCTCAGCCTTGCTGCCTGTGCAACAAGAGTATTAATTAATAGCCTATTATGTGAAAAGTGGGCAGTTGCTCTGCTGCCAGACACATTCTAATAATAGACCCTTTTAATGGTACATGAATAATAACTGAAAATTTCATTAATTTTTCTGGGGATGTGGGGGAATCCTAGAAAATAAGATTCTTGGAGGGGACGAGAGTGATTTAACTAGGCTCAAGTGAAATCCACCTATAAGCCTTAGTCTTTTAGATTTAAGTTAAATTGTTGCCTCAACTTTCAAATTATTTCTAAGAATTCATGTGGAATTATTTATTTACTTTGCCTGAAAAAGGCAGCAGTGATTTGACAATAGATTTTCTGCAAAAAAGAGCAATTTTAAGATGGTACAGAAAGAGCTCAAGAACCCAGAATTAATTTATCTGCAACTAATTTAAATAAGGTCAACATTTAAAGTACAAAGCAGTCTTGAACTGAAGATCCATTTCAAGAGAATTTGCTGTGAAATCCTGAAATCCACACTCTCAAGACTTGCCAGGCACTCACATTTCTTAGCATTATTTTCAAGCTGAGCACTAAGAAGGAATTAAGGTAAAGTAGGTGATATATAATCAAACTAAGAGGTAGCAGCTTGATTAAAAATACTCCCATCAAGATCCAAGTGTAAAACAACAAAATGGTGCACTTTCTAATAAGGATGAAATTATTTTCTTTATTTATACCTTTCAGTAGACCTTAAAAAAGAGTAATTTGGCTGAATGCATTAAGCCTGCAATACCCCTTTAAAGAAAAGGCCTTTCCACCTGCATGGAGAATGTTATTCTCCACACACACCCAGCATAACTGCCCAACTCTAAAATGAGTACTGGGGAGCAAAGAGAACTGCTTTTGCTAATACAGCATTAATGGAAATTAATGCTGGATTCAAGTTTTTTCAAGTATGACCATGGAGTTACAAAACTTGATTTCCAGTCTGGATTGCAGAATAATGTTAGATGTCAAAAAGAATTGCAACTGACACAATGTGGAAACTTGCATGAAAGTAGGGGAAAAGAGATGATGTCAAACCTTTTTTTTTTTTTTTGGTAGCCAGCTAATGAAAAAGCCCACAGAAACTAAAAAGCAAAATGCTGATGCAAATAATGAATGGAGTAAACACATCAGCTCAGCCCACCCATCATCCTCTGAATGGCCAACTGTAGTGACCATGTTCACCCATGAGCTCGAGCTGACAGCTCAGGCCACAGAAAACCACATTTCCAGCAAGCCCACACCAGACTCTGACCTATGTCCACTCACTCAGAGTGTCCTTTTCCACTGTACGATGGCCAGTTACAGAAGACCAAAGCACAAATCCACAGCCCTTTTTTAGTCACATCCCTTTGAGCCAATACAGATTTTGTGCCACTAAAACCCTCTGGGACTGCATTTCGTGACAAAAACTTTTAACTTTCACTTATATGCATGAAATTCTCTGAAATTTGGAGATGACAGTTCCTCTCCAGGTAGGTGTGCCTGACTGGAGTGCCCTAACTACTGGCACCTCCTGTGGGAGGGGACTTCATTCAGCTCTTGGCCACGTGCTTTTGGGAAGAAAAACAATCTTCACTGCCAAGGCAACAAATTCAGTATTTCCCCCTCCCACCACCACCTCTCCCAAGGCTCCCCACCCACTGCCAGAGCACCTGTTTCCTGCCAAGGCTGCAGCCTGGGTCAGGAGCACTTTCTTGCCAACAAGGACACAATGGGGCTGATTAATCCTGTGAGCTCAGAGCAGCTGAAAGCTTTCACAATAGCTTGGCAAAGCCACAGAGCACTGCCAAGGCCCTCAAAAGTTTGGTAGAAAAAAATTAAGTGGTGGTTTGGCTAGAGGTTTGACATCCTGGGATGACAGCAAAGTTTTCAAATTATATAGACAGAGAAGAAGGGATAGATACATGGCTTCTGCTAAACCCAAATTAACAAATTCTTCACATTTTAAAACTGATTTTTCATAATGAGGTAATTAAGCTCAAGATGAGAAGATTAAGGTATGTGCACAGTTCCAGTCATACATTCTAGCTCTCATCTAAGAATGCATGTTTGAAAAATGTCGTCAGATCTAAATATGTATTTAAATGACTTTTTGAAGCAGTGCTTCTGAATGTACACAGACATACACACTCATAACATGCCAACTACTTCTTTCAGAAAATATTTCAGGAATAAATGATTAATGAACAAAACTATTTCAAGATCACAAAACATGTGTCTAATCACCTGAAATGCTCTTTTAAACCATGCTACAAAAGTAAAGTATTTTAAAAACACTAGATTTTCTCAAAACTTTCTGGTTGGCTTTTGTTTTTTTTTTTTTTTTTTTTACAACAGAGGTATTAAGAGAGAAAACGCCACACACTGTGTTTGAAATAAAACACATTTCATGTATGTGGTGAACACAGATTAAACCCATATTAAAGGATTTGGTGACAGTGTCTAGAAGTAGATGCAGGGAAACTGTAGTCACCAAAAGTGAAAACAGCTTTGGATCAAATATAGATGTGACAAGAGAACTGGAATGGGAAATACTGTTCTGCAATTGATAATCACGCAATTTAGAGAGATGCAATCAAGCACATACACTTTGATCATTTCACTACGTCTTAGAAACTATAAACCAAACTAAATCATCACCGAACCAAGCAAAAAGAGTTCCACCTCCACTGCTTAATTTTTTTCCCAGCTTTTTATTTCCAACATGTATTTCCATTCAAGGAAGAGTCATAGTTTTTTAAACCCTGATTTGTTAAAGAAAGCTGAGGCTGAGTTCATTCATATGTAAGTTTAACAATGGCTCATAAATGTTATGAATTTAATTCAATATAGGGTTTTACTTGCATATCTGCCTCTCTGCCCTTTTCTCTGCTCAGAATAAAGTAATTTTGTGTGGTTTTATAAATATCAGAAAGTAATATTCTACTGAAGTGTAATTTGATTTGTTTGCAAATCCCTTTTGAATTGCTTTATGATGCATAAGCACATGCAGTTTATTAGGAAATAATAAGCAAAGAAGGCAAGCCAGGCAAGAAGCTTTGCTCACTTTCAAAGTCAAGGAAAAAATTTGGCCCCTGATCAAGCTCTGTGCAAGTGAGAACTTTTAAAAGATTTCCCATTTGGTTCCTGAAAAATAGAAAAGGAAGAAAAAAGGAGTCCTGAGTGAACAAATGATTTTAGAGACAAGGACCTGGACAGACTGGTTGTGCTGGAAAATACACACTTTAAGCAATCAGATTTTAAAAGTTTTCCTCAGTTTGCTGCTAAGTCAAGGAAAAGATTTTCTCATTGTCTTGCAATTGTTTGAACTTACTTTCAAAATCCAGGAAAAAATGTGGATAGTTTTCAATTTCCCTGGTAAGGACCTTAAGAAGATTACCCATCCCAGCAAACCTAGTAAATGCAACAAAATCATAAACAGTTATACATGTAAACTCAGAACACTACAGCTAAGAGCTTGACACAGTCTGCATCATATATTCAACCTTTTGGCAAGTTCTGGACCATGAGAAACATTTTGTTGGTCAATTCTGTGATATCTATTCAGAAAGAGCAAGACCTCAGATAAACACAGAAATAATTCTGTTCAACAAATTGAATTTTAAACATCAGGACAACATCCCAGTGTATAAACAGATATATTTATGAATTTATTCACTTAGCAAGAGAAATAAACTCAGAGCTATATCTCTAACTGTTAATTCTCTAAATTGCTGGACTCCAGATTACTTAACACCATTTCAAATTAAAAACTGACATCTTAACACTTCTTTTAGATCTTCAGCAAAAATCCATGTCATTTTAAGAAAATAACTCATTATAAGGAAAAAAAAAATCTAGTTGTTTCTAGGCAGTAAGATTTATAATAAAATTACTATAAAATTATATCAAAAAAGACAGCTAAAAGATTTTTAGCTTTTAAAAGTATATGTATGCATTAAAAAAAGAGAGAGAGAGAGTAAAAATGGGAGGTTTGAACCCTATTTTTTATCTGTTATTCCTATCTTTTATCATCTTGGAATTCTTTGCATTTCAAGTTATGAACAACTCCCAAAAGAAAAAGTGACTAGTTCTCAAAAAAGCAAGTCTCTATGGAAGATAAAAAGGAAAGATGTTATAAAAAGGTTTTTTGCCAGTAAAGTCTTTAGCAAGGTAAGTTATTCTAATACTGTGTAAAAGCAGAGCTTTCTTGGTCAAACTTAAAACTTTTTCTCAGAAGACAGAAAAATTAAACCATGAAAAGCACGTATCAGGATAAAGAGACCTGCCTGGAGGGATGTAGAAAAATGTAATTTTAGATTTAAAACACAGATTGAAAACTGATTTTTGCCTCAAAGAGAAATATTCTCATTACTCTAAACCACGGCTCTTGGGGATCACATCTGATGTTCATCTGTGATTCAGTTTAACTCTTTTCCCACTTAAGAAAGCAGACCACAAAAAATTATTCTAAGCATGTACATGGCTGATACGCTACATAAGGAGACAAAGCTTTTTTCAAGTTTTCCCACAAGCATTACAGTAGGAAAAGTATCATCAACTCTAATTTCTATGTGCATACAAAGGATGCATTTCTACATCAGGAAAACCTAGGAAAGTAATGTGAGGCTTGGAGATTTCAAAGCAGGTACAGTCATAACATAAAATGATATACATTTAATCAATAGTCTGTTCAGAACATGCAGTTTCATGTAAGCAAGGCTTTTGTTAAATAAATGGCTTTGTTTTGCATTATATACTTCTTCAAAGTTTTCTCTCCAGAACAAATCCAGTGAGCAGACTGTCAAGCCCTTTGTAATTAGCAACATCTTGCATATACAAAATTGAAACACAAAGAAACATTTTCCATAATTCATAAAGTTACATCCATTACATGCAGGAAAAATATTTACACTTTTACTTTCAGAATAAGATCAGCACCTTATACACTGAGTTTGACTTTCTGATTAGCCTACAAAGGGGAAAAACATGCAAACAGTGCAAAACAGATTTTGTACAGTGTTAAAACTTATATCTTCAATAATTTAATATTTTCATCACACTGGTATAATACATCTTATCAGCATCAGCTAGGAGACACACGATAAAGTACACACACTTATTTTCCGTTTCATAACCTTGAAAAAAAAATTATATTATGTAATGCTATCACAATCGACATGACTGACTCAGCTTGGATTCTTCACTTTCAACTCTTTTTAAGCCATAACTTACCTCATCGCCTTCAATCTTCAGAGAGTACCCCAGCATTTCTTCTGCTGCCAAAGCTTGCACTGCGTCCAGAACTGGTTTAGCTGATAGCATGCTTCGAACAGCGAGGAACCCTTTGTGCCAAAAACCTGAGGATAGGCTCCCTCATTTGCATGGAGTCGCTTGGGGTCATGTGCCCAAGCTCTGCCTCTGATCCTTCTTAAACAAGTACAGCACATCTCGGCTTGGGAGATTTCTGAGTGTTTTTCCAGAACTTTTGTTACATTTCCTAGCTTGTTTTTCACTTTGTTCCCTCTCCTTCAATCCCTGTGCAGAAACTGATCCAGCTATTCAGGTCACAAGCCTACCACAAACTTATGTGCACACGTTCATGCAGGTGGCATTTTCCAACGATCCTGGAGGTTCTGGTTTGACACCACCTATTTTCAAAGCACATCAACCCCAAAAATAGTCATATTCAACATCAACATCCAGAAAATATGGTTCAGGCAGCTGTTAAACATGTTTTAATTATTTTTTTATATAATTTCTTTATGGTTTCCTAAAAAACAAAGCTAAAAGCAACATCTGGTTCCATGAAACTTTCACTTTCAAGAGTAATTCATCATTCAGCACTAAATTTTAGTTTCAAATTAAAAGGCCAAACTTAAAGGAAGTGCTAATAAATGCAAATCTTTCCCTCAAACTGAATTATTTTATTCTGCATAGCCTGCTGCTTCCCAGTACTTAGCTCTTTCAAACTGTCTTTCCTTACAAACTCTAATAACATATTCCAAACCTCAGGAACTGAAAGTCACCTCCAGGATAATTTTAATGAGATTTCAAAGTAACTAACGGCACACATTCTGAGCAGGTCTATATATATATATACTGTGATTGCAAGAGAAATGCAAATAGCAGCTGATGTACAGAAGCAAATCATAAAGGTTTAACATAGGAGCATAAAATTCTATTTCATTAAACCGGAAAGCATTTTATTTTACTTACTGTAAAATCAGTTTAAATGTTGAACTGAGACTCAATGCATATATAAAAATATTGCTGATGCTGCACCACTAAATGCTAGCAGCTTCTCTTTAGTGTCTAAATCCCTTAAAATTCCAACCTGTAACTACGCTTTAAAAATGATGACATGTTGATAACGATGTCTGCATTTTTCCCTATTGTTTTCCAAACCATTAAAACTTACCCTAAGATATCGCATAAGCATACAGAAAATAGTTTTTAAGCTATTGTTGACATTTTAAAGCTCATTGCTTAATTTTTGATGCTCAACATTTAATTAGTAGCACACAGAGATAAATAAACCATAACCCAGCAATGAACAGTAAGGTACATTTAGCTTTTTGCATTTAATTTACCATTATCCAGTAGCAGGTTTTAAAACCTGAGCTTTGAACAAAATATCACAGGCTGGTTTTCCAACAAATAACTGTGTTCCTAAAATTCTACTGATTTAGTTTCAACATTCTAAAGGTATTACCTTGTATGGGAAAAGAAATTCGTTCTACCCCACTAAAGCAATCAGTTTATTTCTGAATTGTGGTATATAAAATACTATGCCCCCCCAAAAAAATCAGAATTCAACCCTACAAATCTGCCATAGATTTTACATACATATACTGAAAGTATACCGAAATATATTTATTATATACTTAAATCCACTTTTGAAAATATAGTAAGTGTTCCCAATCTGGGAATCACTAACTGAACACTGAATATCATGTTATTCAACACTTTAAAATTTTGGTTTACACACAGTTTTAAGCAACTACACAATTCTCAAGTGTGGAGTTTTGCACCACTTTCAAGTAACAGCTACAGTACTATACAAACTGCTAAAGAAGTACTGATTGACTTCTTCTCTTACAGGACTAATTTAATCAGTACCAATTCAACACCATCAGCAGCTCTGTGGTACAGGGACGATGTTAACAGAGAGACAAAGCTTTAAAACTCTGTGTTAGTGAAAAAGGACACATTCACCAGCTCAAGCCTTCGCAGCTCATCAGTGCTCCTTTGCCAGATAATATTTCCTAAATCTGTCTGCTCACATAAACATGGTCTGAAAGGCTTTTGTCAAAATGAGCTGGATCAGCAAATACCTACTGCTTAACCTCATTTAGATCATCCTAAGGAAAGCAGGGCTTGTGCATGTTTTCATGAGCAGCCCCACTGGGATTTCCAGGAGAAAGGCTCCCAAGCTCAGGAGTGGCAATGGATGATTCGGAACGATAACTTCTAGTGGCACACCTAAGTGGGCAGAGACAGGAGGCATCCAGTCCCCAGTCTGAGGGAAATGTACTACGCACATCAGCATCATTAAGGTACTGTAACCAACCTTACTGCATGAATAATTAACTGTGCTTTCAAAAATATACCAGCATCTGAACAAACTCAAGATCTCTCAGATCAAAAGCATGACTCCAAATCACTGTGATATTCACTCATACAGTTGGTTGAAATACTTGTAAGGAAACAACGGAAGTGCAAGATTAAAAAAATTCTCTTGGGGAAACTGGCTGCTCATGGCCTGGACAGGTACACAGGGTAAAAAACCGTGGTGGTGAACGGAGTTAGATCCAAATGGTGGCTGGATACCAGTGGTGTTCCCCAGGGCTAAGTACTGGGACCAGTCCCAGTCAATACTGGGGCCAGATCCCAGTGCCCAGGGATCTGGACAAGGGGATTTGTAGTTGTGAGGCCACACCTCAAGCGCTGTGTCCAGTTCTGAGTCCCTCACTACAAAAAAGGCATTGAGGTGCTAGAGCGTGTCCAGAGAGGGGCCATGGAGCTGGGGAAGGGTCTGGGGCACAAGTCTGATGAGGAGCAGCTGAGGGAGCTGGGGATGTTTAGCCTGGAGAAAAGGAGGCTCAGGGGAGACCCTAACACTCTGAACAACCACCTGAAAGGAGGTTGGAGCCAGGTGGGGTTTGGTCTCTTCTCCCAGGCAACTGGCATCAGGATGAGAGGACATGGCCTCGAGTTGCACCAGTGGAAGCTCAGGTTGGATACCAGGAAGGATTTCTTCATGGAAAGAGTGGTTAAACACAGGAACAGATTGGCCAGTAAGGTGGTGGAGTCACCACTCAAAAGTGTTCAAGAAACAGTTGGACATGGCACTTGGCTCTAGTTGGCATGATGGGTGTTCAATCAGAGGTCAGACTTGATAATCTTGGAGCTCTTTTCCAACCTCAGTGATTCTGTCATCAACTGTAGTCTCAGTCAGGTCACAGATGACACCAAGTTGGGCAGGAGTGCTGACCTGCTGGAGAGCAGGAAGGCTCTGCAGGGGGATCTGGACAGGCTGGACTGATGCTGAGGCCAGTGGTGTGAGGTTCAACAAGGCCAAGTGCTGGGTCCTGCCCTTGGGTCACAACAACCCCTGCAGTGCTACAGGCTGGGGAAGAGTGGCTGGAAAGGGACCAGGCCTGGGGATGCCGGTCAACAGCAGCAGAGCATGAGCCAGGGTGGGCCCAGAGTGGCCAGCAGGACCAGCGAGGTGGTAATGAGCAATAAGAGGAAATGGCCTCAAGTTCCACCAGGGAGGCTAGATTGGATATTAGGAAAAATTTCTTTTCTGAGAGGGCAGTCAAACACTGGCACAAGCTGCCTGGGGAAGTGGGTGAGCCAACATCTCTACAAAAGACTTGTAGATGTCGTGCTTAGGGACATGGTGGATTTGGCAGGATCAGGCCAACATCTGGACTCAATGAACTCGGAGATCTTTTCCAATCTAAATGATTTTATGTTTCCATTATTTCTTCCCATCAAATTCCAAATAGGTTTATTTTTAATAAAATCTTCAATTTTCTTATAGTTGAGAATATTTGCATGGATATGGCATTATTACTATCTTCAGCTGTTTTGCTGCTAAATGTTTAAATATTATTAAATGGCAGTTGCATTGATGAAGAAAAATATAACACCTGATATTTAATAGTCTCAGTTGTGCAAATACTGTTAGTTTTAAAAAATGGTATTATTTCTCTATGGACTTTATTCTAAAAATAAGTTTAAAAAGGTATAGTTATACTAAGATAAAGGTAAAAATAGCACACATTTGTGTTGAGGTGATAATTGCACAAAACCTCCAAAGATATTTGATAATGAAGTATGTACTGTGTTGTCTAGAAAGGCATAGATAAGACAAAAACATAACCAAACTCTTTTCAGAAAGCAGCCATATTCATTTTCCAGAAAAAAGAAATTATCCCCAATGCTGGCTGCTAAACACTGGATTTATAAGTTTTCTTAATACAAGTAACATACATAAAGAGCACCAAGTGGCAACCTATACACAAGCAAAGAAAACTCAGTGCCACACATTCCTTAGGTAGGTGAAGTATAAACAGACAAAAAGAAACCCCAACAAAACTCAAAGCCAGAAAATATCTATAAAGAAGTGAAAAGTAGAATAAGAGAAGAAAGTTGCTCAAGGTGAAAGTAACTCAAGATAAAAGAATCATTCCCTCTTTGAACAACCATTTTATTAAAATTCCTATTTAAGGAACACTTCCAGCCAAGAGCTTTTGCTGTTAACTGATATGCAGATTGCAGGACACAATTAAAACCTACAAAAAGTGATGTAAGTGAAAGGGATTTAATAAATGGGTTGTAATGACAAATATGTTTTTCAGTAATCATAAAATGTTTAAAGAGTTGGCCAACATTAGTACCTGTAGCCTCAAGGATTACAGAGCTTGGCTTGTGGTTTCTCTAAAATTAAATGTAAAAAAAGAAAAAATTACCTTAGATGAACCTAAAACATATCCAGCAGGGGGATTTTTCTATATGCCAACCCTCACACCTGAATTTACTTTGAACAGAACTCCTGTATATTTTCAGTCTATAATGTCAGAGCAGCCATCATGAAAGAATGAAAACCAGGCATCCAAAATATCTGGATTTTGATTCATATGTCATAATAAAAACAAAACAAAACACGAACCAGACAAACAAAAAAAGCACCAACAAAAACGTAGAATGGAATCCAATTAAGCAATTAGAGTAAAATTATATTTGAATTTAAGAAAGTACTGCTGCACTTTGATCCTTCTGCCTGAGTAACTAGAGTAACATGGTCTGAACATGGCATTGCCTGCACAGATGCTTTACACAAACCAGGGACACAATTCCTCTGTACACAACAAATGGAGCCTCTATCAATTTTCACAGCAGGGAGACACCTTTAGAAGACACAGGACAGGTTTGGATAGTTTGAGTGTTTCTTCCTTCAAAATAAAACCACTCTGTTTTGTTCCAAGTGGAGTTTGACTTAGTTTCTTCAAAGTCTCATAAGAGAGCCACACTATTATCTTTCTCTTGAAAGTTTTCTTGTCCTCATCATTTCTCACCAAATTCATAGTGGGAAAAGAAATAAGCCATCTTAGAACCCATTCAGTTTTGGAAATCTAATGATTTGAACATTTGAGAAGGTATCTGGTTTCAATATTTGTGAATATAATGAGTGAAAAATCTATGCTAGATCACATAAATATTAGAATCAGAAAGAGGACTTTTGGGTGAAAATTCAGAAACAGAAAAAAAAAAGTTCCTGGTCCTTTTTACCTGTAAATGACTGCTGATCATTCACTCTCCTGACTATGCCACACACAGTATTTTTATTATACACACACAAAATCCAATGCAAGTATCTGAAAGACAAGATGAAAACCATCATATTCTAGTTCTCTAGGCAACTATGGTAAAAATTTTCCTCCAAGTGATTTTATTTTCCAGTTATTTCTTGTGCCATTTGATAACAGGAGTAAGTCTTTGCATGCTAGCTTTCTTCTCTTTCTATTTTTCTTCTCGTTTTAATACATAAATGCCAAAACAGCACATCTAATCTCAGTAAGTCAAACATAAATCCTACAGAGACTGGATTTCTTAGTGCGTACTTCCTAGTGATCTGCTCTGAATGTGTCAGTATGTAGGATATAATACATTTTGCCATTCTGTATTTATGTTTTGGAGAGTAATAATTTATAAGATATGGATCAGAGCAATCTTTACAGGTATGGTTTTCTAGGAAAGGGGAAAGAAGGTAAAGAACATCTTAAAACAGTAAAAGCACAATTAATTTAATCAAAGATATTGACATTAGTGGAATTAAGACAGCTATGGCTGGCAATAGTTACCAACAGCTCAAGATTTGAGGAATTAAGAGATGAAATGTAGATCTTTCTAGGGATTTGCTGCTTTTAGTTTAAAAATTTGTCATAGTGGTCCTATTTAATATCTCATTACAAAAATCAGAAAACTTGCTGACCTATTACAAGGCCATTACAAGGCTGCTGATGGAAATAAGAGTTCCACTAGAAAAAAACAATCAAAACCCACTTTAAATAAACTGGAGGATAATGTATACTTTTAAAATGTATTTAAAATTTCAGAAAAAGATAGAAGAAAAACTTCTATGTGTGTCTGGGAAAAAGGGAAAAAAAGAAGAAACAACAGGTAACAACCTGAGAGACCACATAACCCAGGGAAATGTTCAAGAAGGTTCTGCTGAAGTATGGAGGCATATGAGTAACAGAATGGGGCAAGAAGTTTTAGAAGGATTAATTAACCATCATCTCTACAGGCTTCTGGAGTAATAAATGTCCTTTTGAGAGGCTATTATTGACTTTTATAGTAGTTATGGGGAGAATTAATTGAATATAAGGATGGAAACACGAGAAATTGAAAATAGAGGAGGTTACCAAACAAGGGGAAAAGAGCAAATTAAACTGATTTCACAAAAGCAGTTTCAGTACTCTCAGGTATCTAGAAGGAGAGGTCTCTTGGAAAGTTGATTTAAGGGATAATGGAGTGCAGGAAACATAGAAAAGAAAATACACAACAGGTTATTCTAATGGACAAGAGAGACAAAATGGAGGAGAAATCAATACACCTGCATAAGCATAGGGCAGAACTGAAGAAATATACAGAGGGAACTTTGACAAAGCACTAGTGATCAGGAAAGAGAAAATGTTATTTACTACCATAAATTTGCTAGAACACTGAAAATCTGTAAAAGTAGCTGTCAGCAGTTTACTGGCAAAAAAAAAAAAAAAGATGATGGCATTTTCAAGCAGTATCTGTTTTATAGATCTGGTTTTGTTCAATACTTTTAATTAGTGACAGGCAAAGAAGAAGAAAATACCCTTTAAAAATATGCATTAAGCTAGAAAGGAATTAACATATTCTGGAAAATAGTATCGTAATTCAAAATACTTTAATAAACTGGAGATACTATCCAGAAGACATTCCATAAATACAAATGTAAATTATTCTACTCAATGATAAAACCAAATCAATCCCACAGAGACAGATAGACTGGTAAGCACAAAGACCAAGGAAAAAATATTGAATCATTACACTGGACTATAAATAAAACATAAGGCAGGTTAGAAAGGTGCTAAACTCTGGAATTTTTCAATGATTGCTCTCACAGTCAAGTTAAGGGGTGAGGAGACTGAATATTGAACAATAAAAGGTTTTCTCCAAAACATTAGTCTAACCTGTAAGTATGCAGGAGTTACTGAAAAGTATTAATTTCAATACAACTCCTCCTTTCTTCTTAATTATTTCCATGTAATTTTTTAAATCCTTCTGATATTATTTTATTAGTGCACATACTTTCAAATTAAAGACTCGATTCATTAAAGCATATAGGGAAGAATGGATGTGTGGCATTTTTCTGCAAAACAGCCTGCCTTGAAAATTGTGTTAATACACAAGCACATTAGCCCTCTTAATGATGTAAGCACAAAAAGATTCTTAATTTTGCACTGTGCCTAATACTTTAAGAAGCACATTCCCTAGTAAATCTATTTTCAAATAATGCGTTGTACTTACACTGACTGGCAAACAAGCCTTGTGCCTCAACTTGAGCTGCTAAAACCACTGCAACTTTTCCGGGTATATTAAGAATTCTGTCATTTGCCTGAAATGACAAACCAGGAAGGACTAGGATGGATGCTGCAGAATTAAAACCACCCTTTTAATTAAAAATTAGATTTCTTGTAAGTGTAAATGAAAATTGAAAGCATGTACTGACCCTGGCAGGCTCTGCAGTAATTAATTCCAGTCACTCCTGGAAGCAATTCCTAGTATAGTAATGAAATTTGCACAATAACTTTTTATTAAGATAGTAAAATTGATGCACGGTAGTGACTTTATACCCTACTCTCACTTTCCTCTATGTATGTATGTACTGCTGACTGACCAGAGCGGATGGCGGCCGGTCCCAGACCCATCTATGCCCGTTGGTTCCCACCCTGGAGGCGCACAGGCCTGCAGAGACTCATTATCCGTTAGCCATTATCCATTATCCAGCATCCACTATCCATGGAAAGCGGAGCGCGCGGACGGGACGGCGTGGGAGCGCCCCCTGCTGCCGCATGGCCGCCACCGCACCGCCCCAGGCTTTGGAACAGCTCGGGCGAGGCAAATAGATCCACAGCCCCTCAGGGTAATCCACAGCCCCTCAGGGCGATCCACAGCCCCTCAGGGTAATCCACAGCCCCTCAGGGCAATCCACAGCCCCTCAGGGAGATCCGCAGCCCCTGTGGGCCATCCACAGCTCCTCAGGGCGATCCGCAGCCCCTCAGGGCGATCCACAACCCTCAGAGCTATCCATAGACCCTGTGAGCCACCCACAACCCCTCAGGGTGATCCACAGCCTCCCTGGGCCATCCACAGGCCCCCAGGGTGATCGCAGTTTACTGGCAGCCATCCACAACCCCTCAGGGTGATCCACAGCCCCTCAGGGCAATCCACAGCCCCTCAGGGGTAGCCGCAGCCCCGGGGGGCCATCCACAGCTCCTCAGGGCGATCCGCAGCCCCTCAGGGCGATCCACAGCCCCCCTGCCAGGCCATCCACAGCTCCTCCAAGCAATCCACAGCACCCCAGCCCCCTACCCGGGGTAACCCACAGGCCCCCATGGTGATCCACAGCCCCTCAGGGCAATCCACAGCCCCCCTGGGCAATCCATAGCCCCTCAGGGAGATCCACAGCTCATCTGGGCAATCTGCTCCCGCACAGGGAAGTTCTTTCTCAGGTTTAGGTGGAACTTCCTCTGCACCGGTTTCTGCCCATTGCCTCCTGGCCTACTGCTGGGCACCACCAAGGAGAGCCTAGTCCATCCTCTTGACATCCTCCTTTTTACACACATTGATGGGGTCTACTCTCACTTTTTTCCTCTCCAGGTGCAACAGTTCCCTGACTGTCTCCATAGCTCACCTTCCCACCTACAGAAATGCCAAGGAGCCCTCACACCAGCTGAAATCAGCCCAACAGTACCAACCTCCCTCTGCACGATCAGCCAGCATTTCTGCATGGGCTCCTGCTCCAGGGCATGACCTTCTCCTCTATTCTTGCAGTTCAAACAAAACCCACACCAATCCAGACAATATTATAATAATCACATTTCAGAACTAATACCAGTATTAGAAACCAAATCATATTGCTTTCCCTTTTTTCCCTTTTTTCCTTTCTCAGCATTTAGCTTAAAGGTAACTGTGACTGCATCCGAAATTATCAGAAGTGTCATTTCCACTCAAAGGTTGAAGAGCACATGGGGCTGCTCAGGCTTGGCACAGTGACATCCTGAGGCTGGTGAGGGTTCTCAGCAGGGCATCCCCACCTGGCATCTGCCATGTGCCACATCAGCTCTGGCACCAGTTCAATCTGTACAGAAACACTGGTTTTATTTATACTTTTTCAATAAGTATGGATTAAAATTATTTCTTTTGAATTCAAGAAGCAGCTTAGAAGCTGAGAATGAATAAATGTTTTTTTAGTCCAACTAAAAGAGAGACACAGAATGAGATTTCTAATTTTAAACTGCCAGTTACCTGCTACCAAAACCAGAGGGAAGCAGTCACATCCAAGACTTTCTTACTGCCTTTGCTGAATCCCATTTCAAAGACAAATCACAGCTTCTAGAACTAGGAACTATACAAGATACACTAGGTTTAGAGCAAAATCTAATATTTTGCATAACACTGTTTCATTTTCACTTGTAACTAACTTGCCATTACACTTAGAGATGTTAGAAGTCACATCTAAAATAAATACATCCTTGAAAAGGCACCATCCCATTTCAAATTGTAAATAACTATTTAAATAGGAAATGTAAAAACATTTTAAAACTTTGTTGAAAAACTTAATTTTTTTAAAAACTGAAAATGCAGACATGCAAACACCCACCACATGCATGTACACAAGGACTTGCAAATGAGCTTGCTTAACGAAGAACTCAGAACTGGCTGCTTATTACAGAAAAAAAAAAAAGGTTAGATGCATCCAGATTACAACTGTAACAAAATCAAAAGATTAAACACATTGACTTAATCAAAGCTTTCTGTTTGGTGACTGAAAGCCATCTATGGGCAGGAAGAATGCCTGGGTGACTTCAGCTGCATTAAGAAGAATCCTACACCCCAGGTTCCTCTTATCTCATGACTTAAGATGATGTGAGTTCTCTGGAGGATGGCAGAAGGTAGATAAAACCCAGCAATTATTCCTAATTTCATTGTAAACAAACAGAAATAAGAAATTTTCTAAAAAATATTGTTACTAAAAAATACTGTTTCTAAAAAAGATTGTCTTTCAATCTTCATTATTAATTTATCCAGTCTGTAATACAGCACTAAAACATGTTTGGAAACTGAATTTTGGTTTGTTTTCCTCTGAGCCAATTACCACTTTAGTTGCAAATTATTCAACTGATTTACTAATAAAAACAGCAAACAGAAAAGCCTGAGAGATTAGGTAAAAAAATACATAGTGATTGAAGATTATCAAGGTTGATGGAAAATAATGGAAATTTACTGAAGTAAAAAAAAAGTTCAAAGAACAGAGTTCACAGACTAAAAAGAAATTGAAAGACCTAAATCAATACACATTTCAAAAGTCAAAAAAATCTTTTCCATAATAAAAAAGCCTTTAAATTGTAAAAAGAATGATATTCTTTTGTATAGACTAGATTTTTTTTGGAACACTAACATTAGAAAAAAAAATTATACAATATAGACTATATATGTATTGGTATCAGATAAAAGTTGGAATTTTATACATTTACATTTTGTATCAAATACACCAAGTTTTTAATACTACCATCCAAATGACTTAGCAAAAAAAGAAACTTTATTAAAAAATATATTCAGGAAATGGTAACTTTCACTGACAATGGTAGAACAGACATTTGGTGTCTGTCTCACCTTTCAGATCTTCCAAATGAGAAATACAGAATCACAGAGTATTGGGAGTTGGAAGGGACCCATGAGGACCATCGAGTCCAGCTCTGAAGTGAATGTCCCATGTGGGGATGGATCAAACACCCAGCCTGGGCATGATCAGCACCCTGCTCCCACCAGTTATTTGAAGTCTGAAAAAGTCCCATTACAGCAGGGCCTATCCCACTCCCATTTTGGATACATTTTGTTTGGAAACAAAAAAACAAAAGGTACTTTTGGAAATAATAAGTTTCCAAACAAAAGGTACTTATTACTTTCTTCTAATCAGTTCTTGAACTATCAGCTTGTTCCAGGTCAGTGTTTGTCCAAACACTGTCAACAACCAAAAGGGCTAAAGCAAAGTGTTGCCTAAACCACCAAAATTATCACCTTACTATCAATTAATATTTCAGTAACCTAAAGAATCAGTGCAAAATGACCAAGACTGTTGTTTAATGTTTCAAATCAAATATGCAAATAAGATCCTTATTTTCCTCTAAGTTCAAAATTCTGTAAGAAATAATTCCTACATTTTAATACATTTAATTAGAAAACTGAACAAGCTGTAATAAACTTCTTAAAATGCACCTGATAATTAAAATTCTTGAAAACATGCTATAGTCAACATATTCTAGGCAGGAGGACAGCTCCAATATAGAAATTAAGAGAGCGTCTGGCACCTGATTTGGCTTTGGAACAGGCTGCAGTTAAGGCAAATATCCACTAAGTGGCATTAGCAACCCAAACACCTAATTTTGACAAAAAATAATCAAAATACAGAACACTTTACCTCCCACAAACAAATCGATGGAAAACATTTCCTTTGAACAATTAATTTTATTCAATTTTGTCATAACCTTTGCCATAATTCCAAACAGCATTAGCAATTTCCTTTACAGATCAAGACATTTGCAAATATTTAGCAGGATGGTCAGATTAAAAATAAAACCATCATGACAAACATATTAAACAAAGCAACCAAAATATGGGAGCAATGTGAGTTCAAATTAAGACACATAAAACTACAGCAAGATATTTTAAAAGTAGCTGGGGTTTCAGAAGTGCTGTATATCAACAAGCCTGTTGTGAAGTGCAAAAGTACAAAAGTCACACCAAATGTTTACTTTACCTAAACATTTTAAAAAAAAGATAATTCTAATCATTTAGATATACTGATGCTACCTGATTCTAGGGAGTATAAAAGATTATGAGAACTGGGAAGGTAAGAAAACTACTACTAATTATTTAAGGATTTGTTTTAAAATTATTAATTAAGGGTTAGTAACTGTAAATATAGGGTTCTGAAAATTATTTACTGGAAAAATGCCTTTAGGAACAATATAAATACCAGAGAAAATACCAGAGAAAAGCATGCTCATTTTGAAATAGTTTTCCCCTATTCCTATTGTTTGTCCCTGGTCTTTTATCACTGTCAGTTTTTTCATACATAAACAGCTCATGAATATAAAGGGGGTGGAAAAATCAGCACTACTGTATACAAGATTACAGAAAAATTAAATGAGCAAGTACTTCCGTCTCTCTGCCTCATCAAAGCATATATTTTAAGCTTGTGAAATATCCTATATATGCACTCAAAATTCTCAGCATACTTCAATGCTACAAGGAGTAAGACATTCCTTTTCCTTTTTTTTAAAGTGATTTGTTTCTCCTTGCTGGACACAGAGGAATTGCATTAGGACATAGTCCTTTTTCCCTACATCCGCCTACGACAAACATTTGCTGCAAGTCAGCGACTCCAAAACCAAATTGTTTACAATTAACTCAAAGAGCCATTAAAAAATTGTTTCTTTGTTCCAGTTGGAAAGAGAGAGAGCCAGATGTGTGGCTTGTTGATCTTGCTCTTTGCTGACCTCTGAGTGTAGGAAGAACTGCAGCTGAGGAAGGAAGTCAGCAAGTTGTGTTAATGAAGGTGACCATTGCAAAAAAAGGGCTTGCAGTTTTTTCATTAAAAAAATATATTTGAAAGACTTTTTATTAAAAAAGAGATAATACAAGGCCTTCTTTTTTCCTGTGGGTGAAAAATTAGAGCCTTTGTTTCAAAATAAGTATCTTGAGTTTGTATCTTTTGCTACTTTTGAAAAATGTTATCCTTAATTTCAAAAACATTAAGTTTCACTGAGGTGCCTGTAAATTAGCAGACACCTCATCATTAACACCTGCTGGAAAACCATAATTCTTTGAGGATGTAAAACTCAGGAAAAGCCTTTTAATTTTAGGCTCTGAGTCACAGTCTAGCACTACCGACCAAAATCTGGCATAAAGCTGAATTCCAGATTGAGAGTGTGCCCAGTTCTTGGGAAAACACATCTGGTCAACAATACAAGGCAATCCCGACAATTACCACAGTACTTTTCTTCACAGCTCTCCCTGAAACACATTTATGCATTATATCTGTAAAATACCTGGCAATGTATTAACTAGAAGTCTGTGTTAAAAACTCCATTACGCGGTACTCCTCATAACCGTACAGAACGTGCCTGTACAAGATACTCTGTGAGATAAAGACAGGCTCAAAAACGAAACAGCAACAGGTGTGAAACGTTATCAACTTGTTTATAAACTTCTAATTACTTTCTAAAAAAATGTTTGAAATGCATTCTGAAATTCTATGACCACAGTTCTCCTCATTTTATCAAGATATCTGAGATGTTAGTAAGTTATCATGGCCTAAGGTAAACTAAGGACACATTTGTGTGTGAAGTACAAATTCACTCCCGAGATTCGGCTTTAGATATTAATTCTGGCACTCAGCATCAATCCTTAAGCAGTAAGTGAAGCCTACTTCAGACATCCAACTTAATTGTCTGGATTAGGCTAAATGTTTGATCTTGCTCTCCCTGCATTGCTAACTTCATCTTAAACACTTCACACTACTTTTGGTGGAAAATGATGCCTAATTCTTATCAAGCAGTTACTATTTTAAGAACATACTTACCATGTAAAGACCTGAATATAATCACAGTTCATCTTCCAAATGTCTATTATGGTATTATTTAATTAAGAAACTTTCCAATGTATTCTTAGAAAACAGGAAATTGAAAACGAGAAAGAGTTTACTCCCTTCCCACCCCATATTCTCCTGCTCCCAAGGACATTAAAAAAAACAACAGTAATAGATCACCATACACATGTATACACAAAACACTTCTGAAAACACTTATACTATTATTTAATCTGATAGGAACATTCAAACTCTGGAGAACTAAAACAATAATTCATGTCACATTTTTCAAAAGTTGTAAAGGATACTGTCCATTTTAAAAACAGCCCTTAAGATTAAATTTTCCTCTTTGCACTGACAGAAATGAAAACCTTATCATGTACAGTTCCCAGCACAGCTCAAACAGCTCACACTTAAGAGGACCAAAAATTGCTTCTGCTGCATTAGTATTTAGAATTTAGTATTGGCTTTTCACTTTTATATTAATATTTGTTTTTTCAGAACTTTTCCTTTTACACACACACAAAAAAATCTTCATATGTTTCTGCAGCTTGTATTTAGTTAGTCTGAAAAAAATTAATCTTTGAGATCAGTAAAGTCATATTTGAGGGCTTCATTTGAAAAAAAAGTCTTAACTGTAAAAGGTCTAACAGCCAACAGTTAGGACTTCAAAAATATATCAGGTAAAAAAAAAATACTAACTAATTTTCTTACCAGGTGTAACTCCTACCAGTTTATTACTTTCTACTAATGAACTTAATAAAAACAGTCAACCACACTATAGTAGTATTAAGTTTATACGGAATAAATATTCAATAGTCCATAATTTAACAAATCTTTATTTCCTCATTTCACTCCCTTTTTTTCTCCCCATTTCCTGTTTCTTCTGTCACATCAAGAGTATTCATCTCCACTCCTACCATTTTTCTTTTTATTTTTCCTTTTCATTCTACTTGTCCTGTCTCTAAGATCTCACTTCAAATCATCTCAGCCCCAGCCACCGGAGTGGATAAATCCATGCTGAACACTCAGTTTTGAGATTTTCTCCTCTCTGGCTCAGGATGGTCCTGGGCCATTAATCTTAGTTGAAATGCTATTATAAAATTTAACAGGTATGTCATGTACATAATTCCTACTTCAACTCCCATATGACTGTAACAAAATAGGAGACTGGAAGCTCTTTTAATGGAGAAAGTAAAACCAAAAAATAAAATATGCAAAATAGCTTTGCTGGTTGTATATACAGTCCTTACAAGTTCACATCAGTAGTTTAAAACACAGAGAGTAATTTTCTACCCTGCAGAAATTGTCAAAGCTCTGATTGGAGTCTTTCATCCTAAGTCTCTCCTGCCACCCCTCCCATCCACTTCCTCCCTTGGACCTGGGTTTGTTGACCCATCCAATGAAACGAAACAGGAATATTGCTGTCTTTCAGTTGTGCTGGTTCCACATCTTTTGTGACCTTAAAGTGATGAATCTCTACGCCTTCCACCTCTGCAGGTGGCTTTCTTTCTTTTGAACAAACTTCCACATGATCAGCAAACACCTTTATTTTGACAGACTGCCCTGACTCCACCTGGGTGCTGTGAACCGGCTTTGACAAAAACCCAGTCAGGCTGCTGCTGTGTTTGGCTTGGTTTTGCCTGCAACAAGTGGAAGTTTTTGTGGTCTTTTGCCCACAGCACCACTTGCTGGATGCCTCTCACAGCAAGCTGAATTAATGACAGCATTCACTGTTACTAAAATAGGGTTAACTTAGAGAATCCTTTCCATACTCAATGGTTTCCATCTCTCCGAGAAACGACTGGATCAAAGCTACCATCTAGCACAGCCTTACTACCAACAGTACACTTAAGATACTACGGCCTTTCAGATTTTAGGTGTTACATGCTGCAAGAGCTTCAGGTCAAATGTCCTACCTGCTTCACGCTTTCCAGGAGTCCAGGAAGGGCTGGCAAACAGAACTGTTTGGGTCACAACCAGAACCAATGTCCGTGACTCTCAGCCCCAGAGCCCCAGCACTGTGCTGACCACAATTCGGCTGCATGTGAAGTGTGACAGAGATGTCCCTTCTGGTCCCTATAATCTTTGTAGAAAACACAAGAAGCCAGACTGGCACAACCTCCAGTATTTCACTGAGTAATTTGTTTCCAGCGACAAATTTTAATTATGTCTACAGATCAAAACCTTCTAGTTCATCTCTATCACCCTCTGCTTCCCCCTCAGCTATTGAAGTTTGATGCCGTTCACAAACATTTTCTTGGAGCAGAGAGAAATAAGTTTAAAGCCAATAAAACAATTTGTTCCTGCAGGTACTGGCACTGATTCCCTTGTGTTGATACCAGTACTTGTGTGAATCTGCAGTGAGCTGATGCAGAGCTCTAAACTGACAGAAGAGTAATCCTCTGGGAAGCCTTTGCAATCCCACAGATTTTCAGCAGCAAATTCCCTAAACCACCATATCCTGCTGAGTGAAGGTGTTGATGCAAGAGAAGAGACAGACAGCACTCAGCTAACCCCTCTAGATGGCAATGAGGTAATAGAACAACCATACAACTGATCACAAAATAAACTCCTGGACATATATTGACCATACAGAGTGGCTGGTGTGGTTTCTCTCAGGGAACATAGACATTTAGGACAAATTAACTATTAGCACTTAAAATCTCAAGTAACATTGGACTCATTGAACAAACACATAAACACTGCATGAAGAAAAGTCCGGCATACTGCAGTCTTTAGCCTTCTCACAATTCACATATAAAAGGAAGAGGGTACTTAACACAAACACAGTTATGTCTTACCTAGAAATAAAGTGGTTCCAATTCACATTCAAAAATCCAAAGAGGTGATGCTAAACATTCAATGTCCGTCTGTCATGAAAAACATTCAAGATTACACTTGGGGTGGCTTTGCTCTTCCCTATCTCAATTTTGCAATAAAACTTTCTAGTTTAAAAAAGAAATTTCCATGATAAATGGAAGTTAATCTATTGAAAGTGAGATCTGTAACATCCAAAAATTTTTGTATTCATACCATTAAAAAATGCAGCTGGGTTGAAACGATCAGGTATTCAAACTAAATCTTATCCCATATAATTCTGCTGAATAGATTCAGCAGGTAAGTTGTATTTTATAACAAGCTGTTGCCAAGACTGGTACAGCCAAATAATAATGTGCACTGATAATGGTATACATTATATTAAGAATTAAAAGATATAATAACAAAATCATGGAAATGGAATACATTTCCAAAACATTTAGCAATTTAGTATAAAGGCTGTATTTATTTAAAATAATATTTATATTGAAAAAGGCCAGTTAAAACAGTTCTAAGTTCAGAAATTAATTTTCCAATCTTTTGAAACTACTGAAATAAAGAATGTAATTTAAATGCCCAATAGCGATCATTTCATTTTCCAAGTGTTGGGGCAGGGGATGTCACTAGAAAAACAAGGGGACCAGGTCCTTCATAAGGTTCTATACAGACAGCTATTTTAATGATACTTTTTCAACTCTCTAAATAAAATAAGTTAAGAGAGATGCAAGCTTGCTCCCAGAATAAAGGTGAAAGTAACAAGGAAAATAAAGCCACTACAGAAAAGCTTGGAAGTGAACTTCAATTTCAACCATAACCTTAATAATGGTAATATAGCTCCACACTTTTCCCAAATATTCAGCTGCGCTATCCTCATAGCCTCAGAGGTCAAGCCACTGAGTTCATAAATCAGCTTAATTCAGCTTCATTAGGCTTTGACTTTGAAAAACACATGCGTGTGTTTCTGCAGCTATATTTATAAATATGTGACTGAAAACTGGGTTCAATCTAATTATGGACTTTTATTCATTCAACTTCAAAACAGTAACCTTGATTGCTGCCTAAAGAGGAATTATCTCTTAAAACTGGTGTGGTGCAGTGCAGATTGGGGTTTTTTTCCTAAAAATAAGTTCCTTACTGCAAATTGTAACAATTCATTATAAAAGCAGATTAAATTATATCAATATGCAACACTAATTTCCCAAGTAGAACACCCACACAGGGAACTAATTAGGAATAGCTCCTCTATGTAAACAAATCTTTGAACCAATTAGTAGCTGGTCAAGTCAGGGAACTCCCTCTCTCTAGCAGAAAAACATTTTTTTTTAGCATAGATTTATTTTGCTGCTGGCTGCAAATTCTCTCCAGTTCTGTATCAATGCATGATATTTGCAACTTATATTTCAGACACTTTGATGGGAACTCAGTCAAGATTTGGAAAAAAATAATGGTAGTAGAAGACCCACAAAAATCACAGAACCAGGACTTCAAAGGGGATGTGAACAAATCCTGCTCTCTGCCTAAGCCAATTCTGTCCCAAGGGTTTAGACAGACCAGAACAATAACAGTGAAACGACTCAAAACAAACAGTGGAGTAAATAAAAAAAGTACATGGGAAGAAGAATTCTCAATTGTTGTTCTATAAAAAGAAAAGCAAACAAATAAAAACCTCAAGGCGAGAATATTATGCCCAGATAGTATTCTGAAAGTGTCAGTGAGGTACAACAGTGAAACTGCATAAAGGATGGTATTCAATGAGGGCTGAGCATTCATTCATTTATCATTGATGACATTCAAATCTGCTCCACAACTGTTCTGTGCAAGTCTGAAAGGACCAGAGTTGACTCTTACCTTGTTGAAGACGATCCAGAGCCTTCCCAATACTTAAACAGAGGCTGCAATCTGTGGATTTTAAAATTTATTTAAAAGGATCGTTATTAATGAAACTGTTTTAATTAACAAGTAAAAATCTGAAAAGTTACTTAAATGCCTTCAATAGAGAATAACTTCCCTTTTTTTTCAAAAGCAAAGAACACTCTTCAAGGTGTCTTCTACTGTGCATTACTCCCAGAGCCAAAGGTCAATTAATCTGACACTAGCGCACACCAGGGTAGTGGAGGACTGTTGCACAAACACCTCAGGACGGGGAAAGGACTGGCAGCACTGCACAGAACCCAGACAACCACCCATTCCCACAGAGCAGTGATGGAGTACGAGACAACCCCTGACCCTCCAGTGCTACAGGGCTGCAAAAATCAGCCCTAAATAATATCAGCTCATTGTTTAGTGCAGCATTTACTGCTTGAAGATGTGAGAAAACACGTCCCCTTCCCTCCTGACCCAACAACAACAAAAATCACAGGTCGGAAAGACTCTGGAATTCCAGAACTAATTACATTTATATAGAAAAACTAAATTTTGGAAAGAAAACCCCAGCAACTATCAAGGAGAACCTCCTGTTCAGCTGAATTATGAAACTACAAAACCTTTGCAACTTATACAGAATAGCTATCCCTAAGCACAACTCAAGTAGCAGCTAGGGCTGAACTAGATTTTTAATCAAATACAACATTCTGGAAGTCTGCTTTTTAATATTTTCAAAAATTATCTCAGACATCTAAATTTTGTTCAGTATAAAACAAAATGAAATACAAAATCAAATGGGATATAAAAACTATGTCAGTGTAATTTGCAGGGTTAATGTGATTAGCAGGTATGAAATGAGCATTAAAAAAGACTACAAACAGATGCCAGAAATCATTTATTGTCTGTGAGCAATAACTGCATGGAATGGGCTGCAAGGCAAGTTCACTGAGGTATCACCTCTGGATTGAGAGAGATGCTATTGAGTGAGAAAGCCAATGCCATGGGTGGGAAGGAGGATAAACTACTCTGAAAAGTTTACTTTCCAGTTTGGTTTCTTTAAAATATTCCTTTAAAAGTGGAGATAAACATCCCAAGACTGGTATCAGAGTTTTCCATAGGAAAGCTGAGGGAAGGAAGAGGAACAACACTCTAATGACTTCATAAAATAGCTAAGTATCAGGACACTTTCTTACAACACTGTGACTTAACCACAGGGTAAAGAAATGTATTTATGAGCAACCACTCTTGTTCTTGGGAGAATTTGCAAGTCAGAAAGAAAGGATTGTGATCATTTCTTAAACACCAGACTGCCAAAAATGGACTGAATTAAATAAGGCACTCTGAAACTTTAGTAAAATGCTGCTCTAAGGGAAGGATATTAGCAATGAGGCAAACCATCATATATTAACACAAAAGAGAAAATTCTCTTTTACTATTTTGGGAAGCTACAGCAAGTCAATTTATCTCTAGTTAAAATGCATTTATACAATGAAACACGGGAGTCAGTTCAGTTCCCTTAGCATAGTAGTCTGGGGGACCTGCTGGGAGTAAAGCTTATTATCCTCCCAGGGATTTGAGCAGTCGTAGTTCACAACCAATTTGACTTAAGGAAAAACACAGCTGCTATTTTGAAAGTTTCCTGCTGTGTAAGAAATAATTAAGGCTGTACGATCAGTATTCAACAAAGCATAAATAGCAGAGATGCTAAATTAATTCTATTTGGAAATAAGGAGTTAAGTGAAGCTACATTACAGAATGGACTACATAATGTTCAAAGGCAAAAGAGGAGAGTTAAATGAGAGGAAGTGTGCATCAGAGGCCAAACTCTCTATCCTAACTATGCAACCACAACATTACTTCATGTTTTAGAAGTCCTCTACTCAAGAAGTAGAAAGTACAAGTTCCAAAATGAAGCAATGAGTTTTATTCTGATTTAAAATACAAAACCAAAAAAAGGGGCAGCAACTGAACACACTTATCAATGTAAAAACTGAAAAAAGCACAGACTCATTAAAACCTCTACTACCAACCTGGTACTATCTAAATCTTACGCAGAAAAACGCGAGAGATGGCAATGGCAATATCGGTAATTCAGGGCAGTTCATCCTTAGAGCATCCTGACCTGAGCTTTGATTCTCTCCCCACACAACCCTCAAAGAACAAACTGCACCAGGAATTCCCAGCTTGGTGCCATTCCAAGAACAAACTGCACCAGGAATTCCCAGCCCAGGAATGGCACTGTCTGTGCGGGGACTGGGAGGTCAGTTTCTGGTCGCTGGACCACAGCCAGGTGGAGGAACACGTGACAAGGTTACCAAGAAGCCTATGCCATCCCACAGCTATTCCTCATGTCCTGTAGAAGCAAGGTGGTGAGACAGATGGCTGTGCTCCACGGACTACAGTCAACCCGTGAGTTGTCTGTCGGACCAGACACTGTTAAGTCATTAGGATGCTAATAGCTTTAACACTGCTTAAAGAAAAAAAAACACCCCCACACAAAACTTCACACCCTACAGTTTTTTGCTAAATATAAGGTTAGACTTGCACCTCCTAGACAGGAGGTGAACAGACAATTAGAAGAGGGCTCAGACATCTGCTGAAGACAGGGATTCTCGAGGGAAAAGCTAAGGATCATGACAACTTAGGTTTGTACTAGCACTGCTCCTTTAGTTAACAGAAAGCAAAGCTTAGGTCAGGGATAAGTTTTACTCTACTGCCAGTATACACATCCTCCAATTGAGGACATTGTAGATGCCATCTGCTTAATACTCAGGGTATTAATTTTGATTTAAAATGCCAGGCCATAATTCTTCAAATATATATACATATATGTATGTATATATATTTAAACAAGTGCTTTCAAAATGGCTGATTATACTTGTGTATTCTCTGGGGCTTGTCTTATAAAAGAAATATGAAACTCAGTTATTCCATGATTTTAAGTTGCTCTGGCTCATTTTTCCAGCTTCCCAGGCAGCTTCTCATTTCCAAGCTTGAAAGAATTTTTCTTCTACCTTCCTAAGCACACATTGACAATACTGCTACTGCCTCCCCAAAGAAGCTGCTGAATCCCAGCTTCCTGGAAAGCAGGATCTGTGGTCACATATATGTCAAAAAATAAAACAGACCACAGCACACAGCCACGTTCTGGGCTTGGAACCAGCAAACACGTTACAGCTTGTAGTTGGACAACTAAAATCCTATTCCTCCATACAGCCCAGCCAGATCCAAACAGACTTTTGGAAACAGTCCATCATCTCTCCCAACCCCAGAACTATGCTGGGGCATTATCTAAAGAGTGTTAGTTGGCATAGAACAAAACTGTGTCATGAGCAGGACTAAAAATGTAACAGTAGAGTTGCATGCCATACCCACTCCTTATTTAGTTCCTGCTATGAACATGCATCACAAATACAGTACTCAATTGCTTCTGGAGAACATAGTTTTTAGAAATTAATTCCATAACCAGCCAAATGCGTTTCAGAATTTCCAGATCACCCTTGCCTAGGTGGCTGCTGCTTTCAAATCAGGGGAACAGAACCACATAATCATGTAACATCTGAGCATTTGTGTTTCCACAAGTATCATATGCAGCACATGTGAAAATTTGCACTCTCTAGGTTTTGGAGATTTTTTAATGTGTTCAGATGGACAGAACATGAGCATCTGATTTCTTAATTTCTGCAAGCCTGGACTGCTGCCAGTACAACATTAGGTCTGATTGTCAGCTGGTATAAAATGGGCATAGCTCTATCAACTGCATTCCAATGCACAGCTGAGATTCCTCTTCTCCAAACTTCACCCACATATGACTGATGGCCAAGGAAGAAATTCATCTTACAAGATCAGCATTTTAGGAACAAATCTGTGGGTTTATTTCAACAATTCACAAAGTTATGTATGTCTTCACAAATTTGGTTTTTTTCATCTAAGTCAGAACTCCCAAATTAATTACTTTAAAAAAAAATCATGTAAACCTGAATTGAAAACATTTACCCTTATTTTGCATGAAAAGGAACACAAGCAAGAAGTTGTTGTAAAGACAAGAGAGGCACAAAACTTTCCAAAGGAAAACACAACTACTGTGGTGCAAATATGGATGTAAATACTGTACTTGGCAAGAATTACTGTGTGTAAAACTTTGTATAGATGTGATTATGCAGTGTCATAGGGGACTGAAAAATCATTGTGACAATACAAAAACATACAACCCTTCCACAACCGCTGACCCACAGATCATCATCTTCAGTGCCAACTCCTCACCTTGGAGTCTTAAGTGCAATGGCACTGTGTATTGGGTTTCCATGGCAAGGTTTTGGTAGTGGGAAGGGCAGTGAAGGGGAACAGGATGGATGGTACAACTTGCCACTGGCCAAGGCCAACCCCATCAGTGATGGTGGCAGCACATCTGGGATAACTGAGTTAAGAAGCGGGAGAATCTGCTGCAGAAGAGCAGCTGAAAAGAAAGTGAGAGCATGAGCACAACAGCCCTGCAGATCCCAGGGTCAGTGCAGAAGGAGGGCAGGAGGTGCTTCAGGCGCTGAAGCAGAGATTGTCCTGCAAGCCCCTGGTGCAGCCCATGGCAAGGCAGCTGTGCCCCTAGAGCCCATGAAGGAGCATGGGGGAGCAGAGGTCCACCTACAGCCCATGGAGGAGCCCACACTGGAGCTGGGGGTGCCTGAAGGAGGCTGTGACCCTGTGGGAAGCCCTCCCTGGAACAAGCTCCTGGCAGGACCTGCGGCCTATGGAGAGAGGAGCCCACACTGGAGGAGGTTTGCTGGCAGCACTTGTGACCCCATGGGGGACCCATGCTGGAACAGCCTGTTCCTGAGGGACTGCAGCCCTTGGGAGGGTTTACACTGGAGCACTTCAGGAAAAACTACAGGCCACAGGAAGAACTCACATGAGAAAAATTTATGAAAAACTGTCTCCTGTGGGAGGGGCCCCATGCTAGAAAAGAGAAAGAATGTCAGGAGGAAGGAGTGGAAGAGGTGGGCTGAACTGACTGCAACCTCTGTTCTCCTTCTTCTCTCATT